TAGATTATACCTTAATTCTCATGCTTAATAATCTGTCCTGCTTCATTTCCCCTTTTCTTGTTTTAAATAGGCTTTGTGGTCTGGGATGAAGTCTCATGAAGTCTTCCATTGGAGCTGACATTCACAGTCAGCTGAAACATCCTTTACCGATCCTCCACCAGACAAAGACCTGCCCATTGCCCATCACAAGAGTCCCCCTGCACTGTACCGTCTTACTCCCTGACCATGGCTAGTCGAAGAAAGTCTACAACCCCCTGCATGATCCGACCAGATGACTTGGTGACCGCAGACGATCCAGAAGAAATGGATTCTTGTGTGGACGGTACAGAAGAGAATGGATCATCACATGTGTCTTCTAGTGAGGACTGTACAGAGAGGAAGGGTTCTGTAAACTCTATGCAGGAAGCAACAGAGGTAGAGAAACCTGACGTGAAAACGCGACCACAGAGGAAGCTCCAGGGAGGCTATGAGTGCAAATACTGTCCCTTTTCCACACAAAACCTCACCGAGTTCAAAGACCATGTTGATTCCAACCACCCCAATGTTATACTTAACCCACTTTACTTGTGTGCAGTATGCAACTTTAACACAAAAAAGTTTGATTCTTTGACAGAACACAATGAGAAGTGCCATCCTGGGGAGTGCAACTTCAAGTTCAAGAGAATCAAATTAAACAGTCAGACCATTCTAGAACAGACAATCGAAGGTTCAAACTGTGCAGTCATCTATGATACAACCAGCCCTCAGTCAGGAGAGGACTTAACTGCTTTTCCTTCAAACAAATCCACTACTGTTAAGCTGGCTAAGTCCAAAGCAGACAGTTTACGGTTACAAGACGATAGTCCGCTGGACAAACTCCCTCAAGATCTCCCGAAAAAGCAAATTACTGCAGTGAATGTGAACGGGACTGTGATAATCCCAGATGCAACTCTTAAAGATGGCCTCTCTCATATAATGCCATCTCTGCAACGCCCACCTAACTACAACTTAGTACCAAAAATCGCCGTCCCCTTGAACACTTCAAAATACAACCCCTCGTTAGATGGCAACTTGACTCTCATCACCTCCTTCAACAAGTTTCCGTACCCTACTCAAGCAGAGCTCTCTTGGCTTACTGCAGCCTCCAAACACCCTGAAGAACAAATTAAAGTGTGGTTCACTACCCAACGACTAAAACAAGGAATCAGCTGGTCTCCTGAGGAAGTTGAGGAAGCACGAAAGAAAATGTTCAATGGAACGATTCAGTCTGTTCAACAAGCATTCACTGTCTTTCCTGCTCAGTTAGCTCAGTCCACTAAAGCTTCACAGCCGCTTATCCAGACTGTCTCTTGCCATGTCCTTGGACAATCTGGCCTAGTGTTGGCACCAGTTGCCAATGGCTCAAATTCGACCTGTTCTCCTCTCACACTAACAGTCACAAATCAATTAGCACAGGGTGTCAAGAGGCCCCATACAGCACCACTGGTTGCCCCAGAGATAAAGAGGCCTTCAATAATCCAGTCCGTTCAGAGTACTCCAAAGTCTGTCTCTCCAACACCAAGTCTTTTTTCAGATTGTGAGAAAACCCCTGATCAGATTAGAGAGCTGACCACTAGCTATGCTCAGTGCCAGTTTCCTGATGATGAAGAAGTGTATCGTCTCATCGAGACGACTGGCCTCTCCTGGGGAGAGATCAAAAAATGGTTCAGCGATCAGCGCCATGGAAACCATAAGGCAGTGCAACAGATTAAAACAGACTTCTCTTCAAAGGACAGCCAACCACATAAGCCTGTCGCCACACAGTTTCCACTACTAGAGAGAGTTAAAGGCAAATCCTCTGAGCAAATGAAAAAGTTAGAGGAAAGTTTCCAGAGGACTAGCTTTCCAACCCAGGCTGAGATGGAGAACCTTGTAGCCGACACCAGGCTCTCCAAAAATGAAATCGATTGCTGGTTTGCGGAGCGCCGTGCACTACGTGACAACCTGGAGCAAGCCTTGCTCAACTCGATGGGTTTGAAAAGGTTTGAGCATCACCTTCAAAGGGGTACATTGAATGGAGTCCATGAGCAGGACAGCAGAGTCAGGGACTCGCCTATTTCCGTTCTCACGTCCTCAGTGTGTCCAGAGGCCATTGATGGCAAGTCTCTCTGCCTCCTTAAAGACGTGTTTGCACAAACCCAGTGGCCCTCACCAGAGGAGTACAACCAACTAGAAATCCAAACAGGGCTAGCTCGTACTGAAATTGTCCGCTGGTTTAAGGACAACAGATCTGCTCTGAAGAATGGAACTTTGGATTGGATGGAGCAATTTCAAAGTCTTAGCAACAAAAGACAGAATGGACAAAACAGCTTGTTGATCACAGATCAGACACAGAGTGTCCTAGAAAGGCATTTTCAAGAGGCAAAGGTACAAAAAGGGGAGGGTTTTGAGAAGCTTGCAGAGCAGCCAAAACTAACCAACCAGGACATAGTAGAATGGTTCACCAGTAAACTGGGCCACAACATGCCTGATATCAGCAAAAGCAAGGAACATGGGCAGGGAAGTGTAGATGGTAAGAGGTGGGTTTCCTTGGCAGCTGACATTGACAGCAAAGACTATGATGCACAGAAAGTGGCACGAGACCTTGAAGTGCTGTCAGCAGAACACCGAGTGACAGGATGAAGTTGTAAAGGTAATAGTCTTATTTTATTTTAACTAGCTGGTTGATGTTTTGAATGGAGGAGCAAGACAGTTGCTTTCTCGAAGTAATAGCTGCTTCCCATGATAATGCAGCAGATGTGGCTATAAGACACCCAGGATGTCAGCAGTCTGTAATTTAGCCTTTAGAAAAACAGCTTAACATTGAGCCGAGCCCAAATTATGTGTTAGTTTGGAAGGGGGCAGTGTCGATTTTCGTTTTTCTGTCAAGCCTCCATCCATAATTTATGTGAGTCAAGTGGCATTTGTTGCTTGTTCTGTTGCAGAAGAAAACAGGCTGCTATGACTGAACTACATGGGCCTGATGATTAAGGAATGACCTTTGTTGTCGTGTATGGAACCAATGATCTCATATCTGGACTCTGAGGTTATCAGAGACAAGATGGACTGGGAGCATCTGTGAAACGCTGTCCAGAGGGTGACCATGGAGTGCCAAAGTTTGACTGCTTTGTTGTTATGTGTTTGTTTTTTAAAAGGGCCCTTGTAAATATTTTTTTCTGTACTTAACAGATTTGTAAACTTTTTTGAAGATGAGACTTTTGTTACATTTATAATAGGAGTCCCAAGACATTTCCTTTGACCCTTATAATGGAATGTTCAATCATTTTTGTGTGGACAAAAAAATCAACCCACCTGCTGGTGAAGCTGTTATAAAACACAATGTGGTCCACGATGGCACTTAACATTTCAAGTGGACTCACACACACACACACAAGCGGTGCTTTGATAAAAAAAACATCTCATTCCAGAAAACGAGGTGATATTATGGACTTTTCTTTGGACCATAAACACTTTGCCTGCCATCTCATACTGTACCTAATCGCCAAGGGGTAGAGCCACATGGTGGACAAAATCAATACAATACAGTGATGCACAGCACATGTTTATTTGTAGTCATAGGCTATTTTTTGGCAATATTACAGTAACTTCAAAATTATACTTATCTTGGCTTTTCCTGGTATTCAAGGCATAGTTCCATTTTCCACTATTCAGCTGTGAACTGCTTTCAGCTCGTTTAAGTGTATTTCTTTTTCCTGCTGCTGCTTTTAGTGTCATGTTCAGACATGTATCAGGAATACTGTACTGCTACCAAGAAACCTGCTTGCTCTTTATAAGAACCAGTCTGCTGTAATTCAATAAAACACAAATGATTGAAAGCATGTTCTGAGTTTCATTGTTTACACAACGGTACCATTGCCAAAGTAAAAATTAAAAAAACAAACTAACAAAAAACACGGCTACATTTCTTCGGGAGCTGCTAATTTTCGTTACAGTAAAGGGATAGTTCACTTTGAAATTCATTTTTCATATGTTTTAGTTTACCTCAAGGGCATCCAAGATGTAGGTGTCTTTGTTTCCACAGCATTTTCCATTTTGACATTTTTTGGTCAAACCGTTCTTGTCTGTCAGTCATACACTGGAGGTTAGGGGAGGGGGTTAACATTAAAAATAACTTTAATGACTCGTGAATGTAAGTACGCACTGATGGCCTAAGACACGAAACGAGCGGGTTGTGTGAGAAAACGAACAGCATTTATATCGGTTTTACCTCGTTAACAGCCGTCGAACTGATCTGAATCATATGTCCAACTGAACCGTTACACCGGAAGTGATCTCTCGTGTGTCTACGTCACACACTGGAAAATCACAATGGAAGACAATTTCGATATATCTAAATATGTTTAGTCAAAGATAAAAACTTCTGAAATCTCTGTGTAAACAATGCGTGACGTAGACGCGCGAGAGACCACTTCCGGCGTAACGTCTGGAGACGGTTCAGTTGGACATCTGATTCAGATAAGTTCAACGGCTGTTAACAAGAGTTAAAGACGACATAAATACTGTTCGTTTTCTCACACAAACCGCTCGTTTCGTGTCTTAGGCCATCAGTGTGTGTGTACTTACATTTACGAGTCATTAAATCATGTTTAATTTTGACTTCTCTGTGCATGCTCTTTGAGGTGAACCGAGGGAGGACCCCCTTAACCTCCAGTGTATGACTGACAGACAACAACGGTTTGACCAACAAAATGCTTTGGAAACAAAGACACCTACATCTTGGATGCCCTTAAGCTAAAACATATAAAAATTAATTGCTAAGTGAACTATCCCTTTAAGAGTCCATTCAGGGTGCTGCAAATTTTAAATGCAACTTTAAGGCGTCTGTATCCTGAGTGTGTCCCTCAAGACACTGAAATCAATGTACTCAAATATTGAGCACAGTTGCTGTATATTTGTAGCATCAGTAATCAAAAATGCACTCAATGAAAGCAATAATTGAAGCACTAGAGATGTAAACTGAACTAACATTTTAGTAAAGCTTGTAGATTAGAACAGTAGTAAATTTTATTTGACAAGGATTTTGGCAAAATCACCATGTATAATTTTAATGTGACTGTAGCACACTATTATATACCATATGCACACAAAGGTGTCTGGATTTTGTAAAGCACCTTAATCAAAACAATGTGTTGAGGGACATATATAATATTAAACAATATGTGTACAATGCATACTACAAATAAAAAATTCTGTTTGCTAGTCAGACTGCAAGTGTAACACAGGATATCTTAGTTTGATCATCTGTAATTTGAAAAATGCTTGGATGGCAGTTTTACTGTAAATGGATTGATTGATAATCAACTCAAGGCTGGCATCTAACAAACAGACTGAAATATGCACAGCACTTTCATCTGCATGTTTAGATTCTGATTGGTAATTCAGTTAACTGACAAATACCAAACATAAGCAATATTACAATTTAGACAAACGAGGTGATTAAAAAACAAAAAAGCATTTTCGATATAAAATCTATGTCCATTCCTAAACAATCACGCTAACAGACAATCGACACCGACCATTTCATACAGAAATTAATCGGCTACATTTGACTGTTAGCAAGTAACATGAAGCCTGCATACGTTGAATGATGTGGTCATAATATGGGAAACAAAATCAAAGTCCCCTGAATTTCCTACAATTACACCAACTCTGCTACCGCACATATTTTTGCAGAGTTTCTGTACACACTGTGAAACTCAATAACAGTGTGATGTGACATCAAGAATAAGAGGACATTGTAACGCTGGGACAGAGCCCCTGTCACTTTTCCTTTGCAGGTCAGAAGAAAAGAACAGAAATGAACCCCAAAACATAAAATCCATATTCTGCAGCATTGATGGTAGAAGTTTCTGTATTTATCCATTAATGCCAGAGTCAAAGGCTTTAGTCGTCCCCCAGACGAAAGCCTTGACCCCAGTTATGGCGCCCACCACCGCCGCCGCCTCCTCCTCCTCCTGCCTGCTCTTGGGGTACAGGTCTCCTGCTCGGAGGAACGCCGAATCCAGACACCCCTCCTCGTCGATTTGGGAACATCTGGTATCTTAGGGAGGGGAAAAAAAATGATAGGAAACCTTTGACAATAAAGCACTATACAATATTTTTCTTTAATTCACCTATGGATTCATTAAATAAATACTTATTTATCAGACACCAGCACTTCTTGTCTCATAATAGAAAATTGAGGCCAGCTGTGCAGCCAAAACTCACAGGAACTGTGGGGTGGACAAGAAGGACCTGCCACCCAGGTCCATGGGGTATTTGAACATCAGAAAGAAGTAAAGGTGGCCAACCAAGTTCCCAATCAGCTCATTGACAACACTGAAGGAAAAAAAAATTGGTTATTGTTACAATAATTATTATGCCACTGTGATGACTCATTGTTATGCAGCATCTACATCAAATTGCTGTAATATTTAAACATGAATATGTGTGGGGGGAAAAGATTCTTACGAGCCACCAATGATATAGTTGAATCCCAGAATTACCCAAGGGAGATAACAAGCCTGTGTTAGTGTGAAAATTAATAGGTTTTAGTGTGGAGCATTAAAAGTCACATCAGGATTTCATTTAAAACATACTATAGTGATGTATTAAATACCTTGAATCTGGTCCCGAACCAGAAAGATACAATCGTGTCGCGATTTAGCTGAGCCCAGACATACAGAACAGACATGATCAAAGGGATCATCAGGAGCTGCGAAACACAAGCAACCCAAAATCCATGAACAAATAAATAGAGAAATAAAAAAAATAAAACAACATAATAAAATTTCTGTCTCACAACATAGATACAAATAGTTTTAACTGTCATGCAACATTCCTTAAAGGGTTAGTTCGGTATTTTACAGTCAAAGCCAAGTTTTAAAATTGTTTCTGATGAAATAGAACGGTTAAGATTGAATTTGGACAAATGCTGTTGTCCCGGGAATTTTAGGTTTCTGTGTTAGCAAACCCAATAAATAATAAATGTTTCTTGAGCACCAAATCAGCATATTAGAATGATTTCTGAAGGATCATGTGACACTGAAGACTGGAGTAATGTTGCAAAAAATTCAGCTTCGCATTACAGGAAAAAACTACATTATACGATATATGAAATAGAAAACGAATGGCATTACATACTAAAAATATGCTTTAAAAAAGATATTATTATACTTGGTATCAAATAAGATTTTTTATTTTTTTATTTTAACTACTAGCGTGAAATTTCCATGATGTTACAGCAAGTCTACAGTGTTGGCTCCTGTGATTTATATCAACATTAAACTGATATAATATTATAATAAAATATTTCAAATTTAAAGGCATCAAAAAAGTGGTAGCATGGGTAAAGGGAAAAAAGGCATACTAACCTGCATGTCCATCATTAAGCCTGTTATCTGAATTACAAATGTTAAAGGGAAATGCACATGCTTCCAAGAAAAGCTTTTGCTTGCAGTCCGGAAGTTAAAAAACATCCTTAGAGAATATTAAATCATTTAATGCAATATCCTAAAATGCTGAATTCAGCATAACACTTTCACTGACTCAACTTTACAGTAATGCGTGTATGCGCTGCACAGACGCAAATCATTTGATGACATTGAATAATATTTGTGCTACACTGAATGACCCATTTATTCTTTTAAAATATTACTGTATAGTGTGCACATGGCAGAAAGGATACAACAATGCAAAGCCAGTTGAAAAGCAGCATGAACATGTAGTCTGCTGGTCTTCCATCAAAAGCTCCTGTGAAAGGGAGAACAGATGATGATTAGTATGGAATGTCAATTCTCATTTCATTAAAGCTGTAGTCACTCCTTTTTCCAGTTTTACACAAAATGTAAATCAAAACTGAAATTGAAAATGAAGCCTAATTAAAGCCATTTTATTTTATATGGAGCGGCTCACCACAAGAGGGGCGCCATTTTGAAATCCCATAATCAAATAAAAAGTTCTTCCTTTATTTTGGTAATCCCCATATTGTCATTAGAGCATTTTTACAACGGCATCAGTTGAGTCATCCACGCCACTAGGCATCAGTATAAAAAGGCTGTTCACGCCAACAACGATAACTATGATAACTATATCAGCATCCACATCAATTGATTATAACATTATAATATATACTATTGACCTTGGTGTGAAATGGGATTTTAAAGGGTGATAACTATAGTGATCATTTTTTAATAATTGTACTTATTTTATGAGAACAGAAAGTCCACACCACAGCTATTACAATAACGACACAAACTATTTTTGTAATGACTACGAGAATTTTTTTTTTCAGCATTTAAAAAACATTTACTGACAATCAGAATCCATCCAACTTTAAAAAGCTTGAGAATTTAAGGCTGCAGATGACATAACTGCTAAATACTAATACTTTTCAGTCCAGTCAGACGCTATTCTTATTAAAAGAGGTTTAATATATTTAGGGACACTGAAGCTACCTGTTTCAAGCCTTGTGGAGTACTGGTAGAGAAAATACAAATTAACCAAGTAGAGAAAACCAGTCCCTGGGCCAACTGGGAAATACAACGTTGCAGATAATGGTCTCCATATCTGTTGAAAGAGCACAGAAAAATTATTAGTGACTTGACGCAGATCACCATTGGACATGCCCATAAATTCTGGCCAATTAAAACAGATGTTTCAAGGTAGTCATTCGACGTAATAAACACATATGTGAGACACGTAAACTGCAGTAGAGTTATAGAAAAACAACAGGCACCGAGTATACTCAGCAGTTACAATTTGTAACCACTGCTTGAATTTAATGATAAAAGTGGCATTCATGCCTGCACTGCAGAGCGGATTCACAGTCCATGTGCCTGAGCATGACTACAGCTATTACACCAGACATCCCGCTCTGAGAGGAACACACACTCATCTGGTTTGTTATTCTGCAATTCCCAGTTTAGGAAACCTGGGTTAGTAAACAACAGAAAAACACCCCAGCACAATAAAAAAAAAATCTCTAGTGTTTAATTTTCGCTCAACATGCACATGCACACTTTATCCCTCTCTATAGTCTCGGCTGTCTCGTCCTCCTCCCTTTCCCTGTATCCCTCCCTCACTTTTAGTGCTTTCTCTCCTCCCTCAGGCACACACAGAAACTCTGAGCTAGCAGGGTTTTTGGGTCTGGGGCACAGTGAATCCGCTGAGCAGCAATGCTTAGATGTTGGCTCTGCGGTAGCCAGGCAGTCCAGCGGCCCCCCTCGCGCACTGCAGCATAAATCACACCAGCTCACTTATGTGGAGAGGTGACCTCTGGGCACTGCAGCGCAGAGAAAGTGGGTTAAAAAGCACAGCAGGATTGGGATGCTGCGAGAGTATAGAAAAAGAAGAGGTTTATTTTGTCTAAATGGTTCCTTTACAAAACAAATGTGCCAATGTGAGCACTGGTTCACTTTGACAAAAAGCTCTGTGTTGCCCTTAGCGTGGCAATTTACACTGTTATTTCTCACTCTATTGCAGCTATATCTGCACATAAACCCCATTTGAATAGGCTCAATGTCTAAGTACCTAAATTCCAACTAAAATTGCAGCTACAAAACTGATCCAGAGGTTAATTAGCCATTTTTCATGCATCACCCACGAAAAAGGTGTCTTAGGAAACAGATTAAAAGCAATATTCATGCCATTCACAAGCTACATTACCCAACAACTGACAGTAAAAAGTCACTGTGACGTGACATATGCTAAATGCCACAAAAATGACTAGATAGTGTAATGTGGGTTTCCAGGTATTCAACATTATAAAAAAAACTTTTAGGGGAAAGGTGCATTATCCTGCAACACAGCTTGCAATTTTAAAACAGGGGGGTTTAACCTTTTAGATTCCACAGAACCAGTCAAATATGATCATCCTCATATGATGGACCCCCATCCTAAAATTCATACGGCAGCTATAATTTTCATGCATAAAGATCCAATTTATACTGTGAAAAATTACAATTATAAGTAAAATATTATTTGGAAAATATGTTCATTAAATCTATGACGTTTTCCCCAACACACTAATTAATTTTAATTAAATATGTCTTACATTAAATTATTTATTTTAATTTAGATTTTATTTATTCCACTGTTTTACAAACACCCATAACATTCTTTTATGCTTTTAACCATAGACAACACACAAATAGCTTTACGCCACCTGGTGGAAATTATTGGTACCAAAAACAATAAATATGATTAAAAAGAAATGATTAATGAGCTACCATGATTAATTACATATTTTTACATATTTAAAAGCATAATATTTTAAAGTTTAGGCATATTGTTAGAATTATACATTTAAAAAAGCCGACCTCCAAAATGTGGAAAATAAATAAACTATTATTTATATTATATTCTAAGTCGAAAAATGTAAATATTTTCTAATCAGAATCAGTAAACAATGTTTTTTTTTTATGTCAAAGAAAAAAAGAATAAATATTTAGCAGTATTGGTGTCCCGGAAGTAGTCTCCGGACGCGTACTCAGCTGTCATTGGTTGAGCAGTGAGCACAGATCAGGCTGAGGCTCGTTCAATGTTACGGTCTTTGCTTTTATGTGAGTGCGCAACTTTTAAATTAAACGGACTTTTTTCAGCCTTTCAACCACATAGCTTCTGTATAACAATTTGAATGGTGTCTTGAGAGATGGAGAGTGGGATTAATTAAATATGTTGTAAATTGAATCAGTAGATTGTCGATGCACATATTGCCCATGTGTTACGGTTTTGCCATTCTTATACTGCATTATCGTAAAACATCGCATTAACTATTCGTTTCGACAACTTTTAATGTCTAGCATGCAAGCTTCCTAATGTGCAACTAAATATTACAACACTAAACATGTATAATTCAGGCAGTCGTGAGTTGTGTGTACACAACCATACTTTAGTCAGCATTATGCTAATCAAAAAACTGTCAATCGTAATCATCATCAACCATAGACATAATATGTCTGTTATCAACAACAACCGCTTAACTTACTTCAGCTCAGTAATTTAGCCCATGTGTGGGCATCTGTTAAACGTTGATTAGGCCTACAAGGCCTTGTCACCGCTACTGTTGTCTGTCTATGCAATGTTTAGTTTAATCTAAAATTAACTTACCTGGAATTTATGTAAGAATGCCTCCGGCCATAACACAAGATACATAGGACTGATTAATCCCAGCTTTCCTATTAGCGGCACAGCAATTGAGCCAGCAAACCAGTAACGGGTGATGAACGGGATGTTTTTAAACCAGTCCCCGATATCTGACATCTTGCCATATGATTTAAGACCCTGTAGATTCTCTGTCGGTTCTCCGCCGATGCAAGTTTGGAAAAAGAGCAGGAGCAACAAACGAAACTGTGATCACAACGCAGAAATGCTGTTTCAGTCTTTTTCTATTTTGGTTACCCTGGTGTACGCAACTCCTTTCCCGTTTAGTTTACATGACGTGGCCGCGCACAGACGTGTCCTTGTTACGAATTTCCGTTCAATTTGACTGTCAAATTAATAGTCACGCAAAGAAATATGGAGTTTTTACAAAGTCGAAAAATGCTGATATTTGAAAATTTAACTTTTTGTCAGCGATATAGTTTTTTTGTAACAATCTCTGTCACAGTTATGTACAATGTAGTGCATATTTTAAGACTACGTTATGATTATTAAATCGTTAGAAGTCTTTTATATTGACGTGTCATTCACGGCCTTTTGAAACCGGAAACGATTATTGGCGCTACTTTTGGTAAAGCGAAAGGTTTTTGTATTATTTGTAAAAATGTCGCTGAGAGGTCATTTAATGTGCCAAAATGCTATTACGACCACCTAGGTCAATAAGTTGCTAATACGTTTTGATAGATAAGTTAGTTGACTAAAGAATAAAATATATAACGTTAATTATTTAACTCATCGTGTTGTGCTAAACCTGTAACGTCATGACTTTCTTTTTTCCTGATTTATTTTACGTGTAAAAAAATGTGAATAGTGATGATAACTAAAGCTGTCATTCTGTCCGTCATCGCGACATTTCTCGTGCACTATCGATTTTTAATGTTCCTTCCAGTGGGCTTTTGTCAAAGTAACGTTTGGTGAAAGTGAATGATAAAGCTGCACGTGTGTTTGTGGGTTGAATTTGTGTTCATTTCTATTCCAGCAGCCCCATTCCTTCTAAAGATGTCTCTGAGCACAGTACAGTCCACCGTATCCACTCTGAAGTCATGTCAAACAGATATTGCAGCTTGTATGGACATGATATCAGACGTTGCGCTGGGAATAGTTGAAGCACAAGGTGAGCAGCCAATGTTTATCTACAATTAAACCTTTTTTTTTTTTTACATCAACACTCAACAACTAGCTAGCTATATATGTATGTGCACACGCACGCACACACACACACACACACATATATATATATATATATTATGTGCATTTTAATAATGTGCATATGTGCATATAATAATGTGCATTTTTATTGAATTTCAGGTATGGATAACAGTTCAGCTCTAAAGAAACTGGAGGACATGATTCTGGAGTGTTCCAGACTGGACAGAGAAATCAATTGTTTTGTGGACTCTGTTGATGAGATGACTGCCCAGGTTTGTCTTGCTGTCTATTGACACAATCTTTGTCAAGTTCCCCACTGAGCCACCCTGACTTTCTCTCATATGTTCTGCAGGTCACACAAGAACCTCCGGAGGCCATGGTTAATCTAAGAAACTCTGTAAAGGGCCGTTTCACTGAATTAATGGCTGGAGTTTCAGACACAGACTTGCAAAGGCACAGCAAGGTGGTTGCCTTCAAAGACAGTGTCAGGAAATATGCCATGCAAGGTGGGACACAACACTTCTTGCAGCATAGCATTCACAAACAATGTGTCATAAGTGATACCATTCCTTAATCTATATTTGTTCAAATGTGTTTATGAAGCAGGTCAAACTCCAGATGAGAACGAAGAGGAGGAACTGGATGAGGATATTGCAGTTACACAGAGCCAGACAAACTTCATCTGTCCTCTCACCCAGGTAAACTTGATCAAGTGCATAAGATGTTATGGCTCTTGAGTTAAAAGTTCACATTTGTGGTAGTGTCTTTGTGTGTATTATTTCTATTGCATGAATAAACTTACAGAAATGTTATTTGACTGTATCTTGTTCTGACAGGTTGAGATGGTCAATCCAATGAAAAACAAGAAATGCAATCATTACTATGACCAAGTGGCTGTACTTGAAATGATTAAGTGCAAGCACAAAAATAGGAAGACATTTCGGTATGTAGCCACTGCTCATTTCTGTCTGTACCTTCTTGTCCCAATTAAGTATAGTTAATTAATTTCCATATCCTGCCACCAGCCAGTGTCAATGTAAACTTAATTTTTTTTATGTATCTTTCTGGCCCCAAACCTTTGAACAGTAGTGTATAAAACAGCCTGTCACCCACTTTTGTCATTTTCTTGACAGCTGTCCAAAGGTTGGCTGTGATAACAAAGATGTTCGGGAGTCGGACCTCGAGTTGGACTTGGTTATGAAGAGAATGATCCAGAACCACAAGAGACAGAGCGGAAAAACTTAAGCGGACTAAATCAGTCGCAGATGTTACTTGTTCTGTTTAAAATGGTTTGCCTTAATTTAAATTTAGAACTGGAGGCTTTTTTATAAATATGGTTTGTGTTATAGTTAATGTGTAACATTTCAAACACATTGGAAGTTCATGTTTGTAATAAAAATATAAATGCACTATGCTTACCAATGCTGACTTTTTTTAAATAAACAAGAAATATTTGTTCCTTCTCAATTGTCTCACTGTCAAACCGCAGATTACCTATAAATGTTATCCTGCAATCCTTAGTCAATGAGAGTGGGACTCTTTTCATCTGTCAATGAAAATAAAAACCTTTCTTTCAAAACCCAATTCACAACCAGACATTTATTCAACAATTGCGCTCTAAAATAATCCATTAGAATCAGGCCAAAAGCCTGTTTTTTATTACTCCACCATGTCACAAAGACATGAAATCAGCATGAGACATGAAAAACCACTGGGTATTAAACCAGCTTAAATTTTACAGGTTTATTATAGTAACTCTTTGACTGCCCCAAAAACCTTTAACTGTACAACTAACTAAACTAATACAAACTTTGAAGTTTGAAAATCTGTCTATGTGGAAAATTCAGACACACACATTGAGACATAAAAAGGACAGTCTGATTGGTTACGCCCAGTCAATATGAAACCAGCATCTGAATTTGCCCCAAAGACCCTAACAGACATATACAGGAAAAGGATCACATGATCAAAAGTCTTAGATGGTTCTGTGTGACTAGTTATTTCTCGAGAATAAGGCCTGGTTTCACAGACAGGATTTAGATCACGCCAGGAGTAATCCATTGTTAAATTAGGACATTGAAATAGCTTTATAAATGTGCCTTAGAAAAAAAATATATATTACTGATGTCTATCTTAAGACAAAACAAAGGCACTGACATATTTTAAGATATGTCAGTGCCAGTTTCTTTCAGTTAAAACAGCTCAAACATGCATTTTAGTCTGGGACTAGGCTTAAGTCCCATCTGTTAAACCAGGCAAAAAGGGACACAGGCATCGATTTAACCCATCACTTAGTCTTAAACCAAGAGCTTCCCATGCATTGAATTTTCATAATTTTGACATCACAAACAGCATTTCATTGAATATATTATTGAACACTGAATCATTTTAATTCTAACAAGAAAAATGAGCACTCAAACCGTATGACCACATTTATTTAGACCAAAACAAATGGTTTGCGTTTATAGATAAAAAAATTGTCTTTTGCCCTTAAGAAAACAGTCTTTTGTAAAAGCCAAAAGAATTATTTTGTCTCAAAGGCAAAAAACATCTCGACATTAACTCACTGTATTTGAATGAAGTATATTTTGAATACGGATACGTACTTTCTTCCAAAACACCTTTAATGTTACATGCATTGTTCTTCCACATGATGTGCATTTGAAAACAAACCTTATGTCGTCAGTCGTCTGTTTATCAGATAACGGAACATTTATATTGATGAGAGCTCTGTTGGACAGTCCTGCGAGCTCTTTGTCCTGGTCCATCCTTGTGAAGGTTCAATGCACTAATATAGGGAGGGAGTCTCTGAGTTCGTTTCAGTGTTGGTCCATTTCCCATGTCTCTTTGCGCCAGTCCAAGCGTGGTGGAGGGTTGTATCTGTTGAGATTCTGAAATCGGCACAGTGGTTCTATCCGATGGTGATACCAAAGCCACACTGAAACTTATTCTTACGATGGTTAAGGAAGGCGCCTAGAGCTAATGATAGAGGAAGGGGAAGCAGCTTCTTTTCCAGCGTCGCTCCCACCACCCAATTGCTATCTAAAGAACCTGAAGAGCAAGGTTGAAGAGTATCGGTAAGCTTAACAGTAGAACAAAACTAGAATATTCATGCAATAAGTAGGGCTGCATGATTTGGAGAAAAACAAAACAAAATTGTGATATAGCTTAATGAGATTTTCATAACACAAAGACTGCAATTTAATATAGACTATAATATTCACTAATTTGCTGTGATCTAATGGTACACAAAATCAGTAAAAACTCAGTCAATAGTAGGATTTGTAAAATTATGGGGAGTTTTCTCGTCCACCATGACACTCTGTGTGAGAAATACTGCAAGCAGAGTGATACATACGGTGAAACGGTTTCCATGGTGATACTGGTAGAATATCGCTTGACCGGAAAAGGCTCTCAGCCAATCAGATCCGAGAACCAGAACTCAACTTTAGAAACAGCTCAGGAAAAGCCTTCCAATACCTTTAAACAGCAGATTTGCTTTGGGTACATCCAACTGATAACCAAACGACATGCTTGTGTCCTGCATCCGTGTGCTAGCCTCAAATTCCACCCCAACCTGGAGCTGTGGGAGGTTTTCAGATTCAAATGAGTGAGTTTAACAGACAACAGGTCTTATATTGAGTAACAGATCTGACATTTAGTTCATTATATATGAAGTACCTGGTCATTGGCTTTGTGGTAGTATGACGCATGTGCACCAGCTCCTCCAACAGTCAACGTGGCGACATAGTTACTACCTGAGGATGAAAAGGTAGCAGATTCAATTAGTGCATTTAATAAAATTATGATTTTTGCCAGACATTGAATAAAATGTGATAAAGAATGATCTGGAAATGATTACCTGTGTACCTGCCCACTAATGATGTGACAGTGCCCTCCTCTCCTGGTCTCTTGTGATAGACCAGCTCGCCCCCCAATACCAAAGCAGGAGACAAGGACTGGAGGTAGTGCGCAACGATGATGCCTATCAGACGAAACATGAACGTGAGCTCCTACTAGGGCTGGCCGTTATGGCGAAATATATATTGTTACCATGAAAAGTCTATACTTAAAGATTTTTCCATGTCGTGCATATCTCGGTATGTAAATATATAGCACTATCAACACTTTAGAGAGAAGAAATGGATGAAACGGAATATAAAGAATGTGACCCACACTGCACAAGTGTGTGCACCAAAAGCTCCCTTCTCTGCAGGCGATGGCAAATTTGGGGCGTACTTTGTGTTTAAAAAGTGTTAAGCAAAATAAGTGGTGAAAAAAAAACACACAACTTATCACAGGGATAAGTTACATTAAAAAAATAATTGTAATAATAATATTTAACAATATTACAGTTCTTATATTTTGGATCAAATAAACGCAGTCAATGAGCATGAGAGACTTTTTAAAAAAGTTCCTATATCTTTTAGACCCAAAAATGTTAGTGGTATTGGTTATTACGATTATAGTATTAAAAAAAAATTAAATTAAAAAAAAAAGACACTTTATATAGTTATTTTTGGAGCTTGACAGTCATGGTCAATAGCGAATGCAAGTTTGTTACCAGATCCAACGAGAACATCTGGGTTGCCAAGGGTAACAGCAGCTGTGAAGTCATCGCCACGGTATTCTGCATCACATTGCCAGTTTACAAACTTGTGTTGCTGTGTCTGTAACCCATCATTTAGTTAGGCAATTAATAATAGTACACTATGCAGCACTGCTTTTCTGAACAAGTAAAAAACAGAGCTGTAATATAAGATTCATTAAGCCATCTAAACTTCTTAAAGCTCAAAAAAACACAATTCTTCTCATTTTGAATATCAAGCCTGCTAAACACTTTCTTTATTCCACTCCGCTCATGTTAATATTGAAATATTCGCCAAGGAACACTCAGGTAAGATGACTTAATGACTTAACATAGGAACAGCCTTTTATCTATACCGTTTTGACTTCTTTGCTCGCTGCTTTGCTATTATTCTCGTGTACTGACTCGTTCACTAAGCTAAACAGCCAAAAAAAAAAAAAGATGACGAGGATCAATTTCAGCTGGCAGTGTGGAACACACAGAGAAAACTTAGTTGGCCGACCATCAGCTTGGTGTGTTCCAGGCTTAAGATCTACTGGACTATACTTTGTTCTATTTTCTAAAAATTCTGATTGCAACTAGCGAAAATGACTGCAAAGCTATACATACCTGAATGGCCAATTTAGAGCGAACATTGTTGGTCAGCTGATGGATGATCTGTGCGTTTAGACTGCCTGTGTTGTCCATGTCACCTACCATAACTGGAAAAGCCTGAAGGGGGCAGATGAGAAAAAAAAAAAAGGTGAGTTGTCAACATCACATCCTACTAATCTTTTCATTCTGAAAAAAATAAAGGTGCATCAACTTGACAGAAAATCAAAAATCTGTCACCCTGTTAGTTCAAAAGCAACCAAGGCGCTCACCTCTGCAGGTCCTGTTTGTTTGCTGCCCACATATGTGGCACCGAATCTGTAACCCGAGTCCCCCAAGGTACTTAGAGTAATTGTGTGACTAACCTAAAGAAGCAAATTAAAATATTATACAATACCAGTCAAAAGATTAGAATGATCTATTATGCTCTCAAAGGCTGCATTTATCTGATCAAAAATACAGTAAAAACAGTAATATTATGAAATATTACAATTTAAAAGAACAGTTTTCTATTTTTATATATTTTAAAACAATGTATTCCTGTGATGGCAAAGCTGAATTTTCAGCATCATTACTCCAGTGTCGCATGATTCTTCAGAAATTTGTGCTCATTTATTATTAATGGGCCTTATTATTATTACTTATCAATGTTGAAAATTGTATTTATTTATTTTTTATCAATTTTTTTAGCATTCTAAAATGTCTTTTCACCGATTTAAAAGTATTAAATTCTCGTTTCCATCAATCTTACCCCACACTTTTGAATGGTAGGGCATCATGATTTCCTCAAAAATGTTAAGCAAAAAGGATCATGACACTGAAAAGTGTAGAAATAGCTGCTGAAAATTCAGAGAGAGAGTGAGAGAGAGAGAGAGAGAAAGAGAGAGAGAGAGAGAGAGAGAGAGAGAGAGAGAGAGAGAGAGAGAGAGAAAGAAAACTGTTCATTTAAATTGTTTGAATATTTTTAATATTACTGTTTTCACTGTATTTTTTATCAAATTAGTACAGCCTTGGTGAGCATAAAAGACTTATTTCAAAAACTTTAACAATTCTTAATTATTCCAAACGTTTGGCTATGTATATATGTTGTTGCCCTTTGATCTTTCAATTCAAAGAAGAACTAATAAATTATTCAAGAGTTTGCAAATCCATTCACACTGTGGTGACTGACCTGGAAGTGATTACTCAAGCCCTTGTTGACAACAAGACGTACCCCCTCCATCTGCATAGGGAAGACCTCTGAGAAGCAGACGAAAAGACTAAGTAAACAGAACATAGATTGTGGGACCACATGAGCAATGTAAGCAAATGAGCCTTAGACAAACCTTTGCATTTGCGATGACATTCTTCAAATGTGCCGGGGTTGGGGCGAGAGGCCTCTGCATCCGTCCCGGGCTGCCCTAGTGTGCCTGAGGAGGGTGGGACTGCAGACACTGGGGGCATCGTGAAACCTGGTGGTACCGTCACTAGACCTGCACCCCCTGGGGCACTGCCACCCCCTGAGGCCGGAGGAGGGTTTGGGGAGCTGGCAGCCAACACACTGCCCATGCTGATGGACAAATCAGTATGATAACAAACATTGAAATGACATTAAATGTTATAACACTTCAATTAACTTCAGGAAGTATCTACTTCCACTGACAACAATCATGGGGGCCCTATGATAGGGCAAAAGGTCACGTTTCTTCTACAATCGACAGAATACTGTCAATAAACAACATTAGTTCTGCTTCTAACAACTGCCAACTGAAAACGATCCCTCCAGGTTTAGACAACCAGCAAGTAACGTTAGTCAGCGGCGACTCCCTACATATGCACACCAATTCTGTGTGCACACAGCGCCGACTAGAATCTGGCTCACTAGAGAAAAGTAGTGCACTAGCATGTTCATTCAAGCCTCACTGGCTAAATAGCAGGTAAGCTAAGGTTAATGCTAGCTAACGTTAACTAGCTAACGTGTGAAAAAAGAAAGACTGGCACATTTCTAAATGAGACGCGCGAAAGAAGCTGTATTATGTGCTAGCAGGACAGTCGTTTCTATCAGCACATGACGGACGAATTATAGCAAGTGAATGACAAAAATTTGTGTAACTACTTTGCAGGCCTCGTGCTATACTCACGTTTAGCAATGCAGTCCAGTTACGGCTGAGAGGCACCGGTAGGATGATAGACTACGTAACCGACGTCTTGGCCCGCCTATTCCGGCTACTTTTTCTTCTTTGGATTTTTACGGCAGCAGGTATCCATTGAGTTGCATTACTGCCATCTTCAGGCTTTATCTATCTACCCTTTTCCTTTCACTCATACTGAATCCACCTATCTAATCCAATCCCCTTCAAAAAACAAAAACACACCAATTTCCTAGCCTCCACACTCTCTCCATACTCTAATAAACTTTTTACTCTATTATCTACCCTTCCAAGGGCTAATATCGATCATTCACAGAAGTGTCTTTTCTTTATAACCTCCCAAAGAGGCTGAAGTGCTTAAGACTGATGTCTGAAAGTTTGGTTGTTCGTTCAGTTTGTTAATATTGTGCTGACTCTGAGCCATGTAGTTTTTTCCATCATGTTCATAATGGTTTTAAACGTTAATCTCAAGCTTCACTGAACAAGATATAAATTTAACCGTCTATGCCGTGTAACCTTTTTTTATTGGTACCTATAAAAACAATTTTAACATAGGAAAATGCTTGTGAAAAACTGGCTTGTTTACCTTATTTTAAATAATCCATGTAGATTTAGAAAAAAATGTGATAGCATGCAGTCATTTATACAAGCGAGCTGTGAATATATCTGGGGGTGAGATTCAAGACACATGGAAAATAGCTTAACACATTGACATAAAACAAGGTTAAAAACATGGAAATTATAGGAAACAGGAGTTCAAGCATACTTACCTATACTAAAAATTGTAAACAAAATACAAAATGGTAGTTTCTTTGATTTTAAGGTATTCAGAAAAGAATACAAACATCTGGAGAATATGCTGGACTTTATTTTGTTTAAAAGAGAAGGGACAGAATAGGCTGGCATTGACATTTGGAGCAAAAAGCTTTGGCCATTCTCCCATAAATCCTCGCAGTAAAACATACATCTACGTAATACAACACATGGCAGAGAGCACAATTCAACACATACAACAGGGGACAAAAGTGTACACTTCAAGAGCTACCAACTTTATTACAGCTGCCATTTCATCTCAGCATGTGTGCTGATATGTTGTAAAAGACATTACTCAGATTATTTCTGTGCATTAGACACCATTGGGGAAAGGCTGAATCTGATCAATCAAATTCCATCGTTTCAATGAAATAAAACCTGTTTCATCTGGGGAAAATTAACAACCTAAATTGTCTGCACTGTTGAAATTAAAGTTCTGCCTTACCAAACATCTGAGCTGGGATACCTGGTTGTCAGACAAGCAAATCTATTGCTCACCCAGCCAATGCTGAGGTAGGTACTGTCCACTACCAACAAACCAGTGAATCAAATAGAGAACAAGTGATTTATGGGTTTGAGGTATTAGACAATTCTAAATCTAGCTGGTAACAATTTCTTCCACTAACAATCCTGACCAAAGCAGATTTTTGTTCTGCACACCTAGAATGCTCCCTCCTACCCAGAGGAAGTACATATATTAAGGCACTTCGAGAGATAGATGGCTGAAATCAAAATAAAAATGCAAAGATTGATTTTTTTTTTTTAAAGTGTTGGATGCTTTCAAAAACTTTTGGGAAAGATGACATGGTGATGAGATAAGCCAAAGAAAAAGTCTATTTGCATTTGCAAGCACAAGCCTCTCAAGATATTTACACACAAGGCTGTAAACAACTAACAGATGAGCATTATGAATGTATTAAATCTCCCTAGTTTTCCCTGATCAACTGTAAAGCTCCGAGTATAACTCGATGCGCAAAAACCTTTCACATTAGACGATGGATAGATAGCACTAAAAATACTCCTAGTAAAGCTTGGGAATTTGTTTTTGGCACTAACTTCTTCCAGTATTTTCTATTTTTATTTTTCTGGTAAATAAAAGAGGGGGCAAAATCCTTATGAACAGCAGTTATGGATGGTAAATGGTCTTTGCAAATGCTCTGGATCTGAAAAACAGTGGCTTATTGTGGTTCAAATGGAAAAAGGGTAAGCTACCTCATTGAATCCATAGAGAAAAAGCCTAATGACTTCATACCGGCCCTTAAACTTGTGGCAACTGATCACATTTTACCATGGCAGTTCCAGACCACTAAAGCATTTGGTGAGAAAATAAACAACAAAAAACAATGTCATCTTTGCGTCTGTCTTCAGTAGAAATTGTGCAGAATGCCAAGCATTGGTCCCTTTATTCTCCTGAAAGAAAGGGAGATATTGATACATTACAACTGAATAGTCACATCTGTATAAACAAGTTGAAGTGCTTCAGATCAGGTCATTCAGAACATGGTCTTCTTACCAGTAAGGGTTAATTAAGCTCGCCTGCTTTGTGAGCAGCCTCCTCCTCATCAGGGTTCAGGGAGTGAAACTCTGCCACATACAGGCTCTTATCAATGCTGCTGGGTATGGGCTTTATGTCAGTCACCAACTGGTCCTCAATGCCCTTTAGATTGAAACGGTCTTCTGAGGTGATCAGGTTAATGGCCAGACCCAGGTGACCATACCTACCTGAGAACAGAGAGAGAAATCTCAATTCAATTAAACAAATTTAAAAAACACGAATGACAAATGGAAACCCTACAATAATAATCAGTTAACTTCTGATGATGTTGATGGTTACCTGATCGACCAATACGGTGCAAGTATGTCTCTGCATTTTTGGGGAAGTCAAAGTTGATGACGACATTGACAGCCTGGATGTCAATTCCTCTTGTGAAAAGATCTGTGACAGGTAAAACACCACCAAAAAGGTTTCAGAAACATTTAGGAAAATCCCTTAAAAGCAGGAAGACTTCTGCGAATGTGGTTATCCATACCTGTGCAGACCAGGTTTCTACACAGTCCGTTTCTGAAGTCGTGGAACACACGATTTCTGTATTCCTGTGATAATATAAAATACTTTAGGTAAACACAAGAACATACACTACTTTTTAAAAGTTTGTACGATTGCTTTTTGAAAGAAGTTCCTTATGCTTAGCAAGATCAAATACCTTTTTTTAATATTTCAAATTAAAATAAAGTTATTTTAAAACAATCCATTATTCTAGTCTTCAGTGTCACATGATAGATTCTAATTTGGTGCTCAAGAAACACCATTGTTGAAATCTGTTGTGCTGCTTAGTATTTTTGTGGAAAACGTGATTTTTTTCCCAGGGACAGAAAGTTCAAAATAACATTTCATTTGAAAATTAAAATCTTTTAAACAATATACACACCTTTACGGTCACTGTCGTTTCAATGCATCCTTATTGAAAAAAATATTTCTTTACAACTTTTGAATTATGTAGCTGCCTTCTGAAACTGACCTGCATCATCTTGGCATGGATGTAAAAGCAAGAATAGCCAAGCTGTGTGATCTTCTTGGCAAGGAGTTCCACCCGTTGAGTGGAATTACAGAAGATGATAGACTGGTTGATTTGGAGCTAGGAAAAAGTGATATCAAAAAAATACAATTAAAAGTGAGAAAAATAAAGGACCTTTTCCTTAGGTTAGTGCAAATCATTCAAAAAGGCTTTAACATAATACAGTTACTCAAATGTAGTATGAAGTCTTTGGAGTGACACAAATGGAAATTTTGGGAAGGTCCGCTTACCCTTGAGAACAGTGTGTTGAGACAGTGCACTTTCTGTCTTTCTGTCACATAGGCGTAGTACTGAGTGATGCCTTTCAGTGTGAGCTCATCCATCAGATTGATTTCGTATGGCTTCTGAAGGTGTTTGGACTACACAACGGGACAGAGTCATTACCATAATTAAAGCAAACGTATAAGCAAGACATTCAGCATCAAAACGTCTAGGACGATTATAAAAACAGAATCTCTCACCATAAATTTCTGCACACTGGTGGGGAAAGTGGCAGAGTAGAGAAGAATCTGACGGTTTTTGGGCAGGAAGCTAATGATGTCCTCAATAAGCACCACAAAGTCTTGAGAAAGCAACTTATCAGCCTGTGAAGAACGAATCGATATTATGAACTTCAATCATATTAGCATTCATTTAGAGAGGATGCTTAGTTGGAAATTAACACTTTTTGCATTATTTTTCTCACCTCATCCATCACAACCATCTGAGCTTTGTCAACCTTGGCCACACCTTTCTTTATCAAGTCAAGGATTCTTCCTGGGGTAGCTATTATAACATGTACTAGAGAGAAAAAATAATGGTTAACAGAAGTAGAAAGAGGGCTTGCATTTAAATCCTTTTTAAATACATTTAAAAAAAAAACTGTCACAATGACTTGGCCCCATATGTGGTTTCAATCCTGCTCTGCTCATTTAGCATGTCTCCCTTATTTAACACACCTATTCAGATCATCAGTTCATTAGGAAAGAGATCCATTAACTGAACTGAATTCAGGGTCAGATAACAGAGACATACTACAAAAATGTACAGAGCGGTGAGTGACCAGGATTGAACACCACATTATAACAGGGGTGTCTAATCCTACTTGAGGGCCTTTATCCTGCAGATTTTAGGTCCAATTTAATAAAACACACCTAAACATAGTACGAGAACACAAGATAGCTTAAGGCAGAACATTGAGAAATGGCCATGGCAAATGTGTGTGGAGGCAGAGGTTGGAGCTAAACTGCAGGATATTGACCTTCCGGGAGCAGGATTGGACCAACCCTGCATTATAACAAAGTGCATACAATTATGAGACTCCTCATGTAACATCATTGCTCTTTAAAGGTGCCCGTGATTATGTAGATATAAATTAGCCGGCACACATTGCACCTTTAAGGAACAAGGAAGCACAACTTAAGAATTGCTCAGATGTCTGTGATCTGGGAAGAGTTCAGACAAAACAGATGGTAGGTGTGACATCCCGACAAAAGAAGTCATTTCGAGTGAAATGCTGCCTTTGGTCAAATTTCCAGCTTAAATTGAAGAACTCACCGAACTTTAATGCTCAATGAAGAATTAACCCTAAGATTGCCTGCCAGGATGCCATTTTTAAGTGTTAATGTAAAGGTTTTTTTCTTTTTTTTTTACTTAAACTTTACTTAAATTTTATAACCCATTCTTTAATTCTCAAATCACAAGCATTCCAAAACTTAGGAAGGTAGAGATATCCAATTACCAGTCTCATCAAGACGCATGATGTCATCCCTCAGGTTGGTGCCACCTGTTGTAGCCATAACCTTGACGCCACCAAGGTGCTTGCTCATGTTGATACTTATCTGGCTCACCTGCAGAGCCAACTCACGAGTTGGTACCATTACCAAGGCTAAAATAAAGTTATAATGAGTTTATAAACGTATATATACACAACTTTGAGGTCAGCAAGGTTCATTTGCAAGTATAGATTAAATTGATCAATTTAGACTTTTACATGGCAATAAAAATGCAGTTCATTTTAAACAGTTCATTCCAAAAAGAATCAAGGTTTCCATAAAAATATTAGGCAGCACAACTGTTGTCAACAATGATAATAAATGTTACTTGAGCAGAAAATCACCATTTTTAGAATGATTTCTTAAGATGAATTAACCTCAAAATAAAAATGTCCTAATAATTTATTTACCCTAATATCATCCAAGATATCCATGTCTTTCTTTCCTCAGTGGAAGACAAAATAAGTTGAGGATAACATTGCTGGATTTATCTTCACATAATGGACTTCAATGGCAACCAATGTTTTGAAGTCCAAATCAATGCAGTTTCAAAGGTTATTGAAGTGCTTCAACGGGCTGTGCACGATCACAGCTGAGGAAGAGGGTCTAGCAAAACGATATGTCGTTTTCAAAAAAGTTAGTTCACCCAAAAATTAAAATGATGTCATTGACTCACCCTGATGTCATTCCAAGCCCGCAAGACCTCCGTTCATCTTTGGAACACAGTTTAAAATATTTTAGATTTAGTCTGAGAGCTTTCTGTCCTTCCATTGAAAAATGTATGAATGATATACTGTCCTTGTCCAGAAAGGTAATAAAGACATCATAAAAGTAGTCCATGTGACACCAGTGGGTTAGTTAGAATGTTTTGAAGCATCGAAAATACATTTTGGTCCAAAAATAACTTTATTCAGCATTGTATTCTCTTTTAATTCTGTTGTCACAACACGTTCAGTGATGCTGATGACGTGTATCCGGTGCGCACGAGCATCGTTTACTGTCTGAGGGAGATGCACGCTGAAAACAAAATCTTCACAAACATGTCCAAGGATTGACAGAGAAGACTTTTTTGGGCATTTTTTTGCCAAGCCATATTTATTGGAACCAGAATACACCAAATAACACGTCAGCAGCGACTTACGTCATCAGCGCAACTCATGAACGCGGATTGACAGAACCAGAAGACAAGACAATGCTGAATAAAGTTGTAGTTTTTGTTATTTTTGGCCCAAAATGTATATTTTCGATGCCTCAAAACATTCTAACTAACTCACTGGTGTCACATGGACTACTTTGATGAAGTCTTTATTTCCTTTCTGGACAAGGACAGCATATCATACATACATTTCAAATCTAAAATATCTTAAACTGTGTTCCGAAGATGAACGGAGGTCTTACGGGCTTGGAACGACATAAGGGAGTCATTCATGACAATTTTCATTTTTGGGTGAACTAACCCTTTAAGGATCATGTGACACTGAAGCCTGGAGTAATGATGCTGAAAATTCAGCTTCACCATCACCGGAATGAATTACATTTAAAAAGACATTAAAAATATTTTAACTTGCAATAATATTTTACAAAGTTATTGAGTTTTTAATCAAATAAATAGAGGCTTTGTGAGCATAAGAGACATCTTACCAACCTCAAACTTTTGATGGGTAGTATATGTCATTTTTAGAAATAATTCATTAAACGCATGACAAACCTTGAACATGGTCTTTCTTCAGATCAATCCTTTCCAAGAGGGGGATGAGGTAGGCTCCACTTTTACCTGTGCCATTTTTAGCTCGGGCGAGAATGTCCCTCCCTGACAAGACAATAGGAATACTCTCCTCCTACACAGACAGACAATGAGGGATATAAATATCAGGACAGGCTCATTTGACAACCATTCTAAAAGGCATAAGCCAAACAAATAGACCACAGTTTACTTTCTAAATGTACATAGGATAGACTACCTGGATAGGGGAAGGCTTCTCCCAGCCCATTTCAAATATACCCATCAGCAGTTCCCTCTTAAGGCAGTAATCTTCAAACTCGTTCCCCTTTGTAGCAGTCACATCCTATCAAAAAATAGTGCATACACATAAAAAAACTGGGAAACCAGCAACCAATTTTATTACAACCATAAGAAACTGGTTTCATTACTTACTGTGGTTCGCACTCTCATGTCTTTCGGTGGAAGTTGCAGGCACTTCTTCCAGTCATCTCCAAACCTAAAGGAAATTGTTTACAAAATGAATTTGACTTTACACATTATACAAGACTTAATTAATTTATTCACAAACAGCTCAACTAACATGATTCATTTGAGGCATCAATGTCAAAAGGTACCAGACTCTTCAAATAGTATTAAATAAAGACTACCTGATACCGCCACTGCTTCGGGGTATACTGCTTCCTTTCTGGAGCATCACAGGGGTTTTTCCTGACTGTGTTGAGGAAGTAAGTGATCCTGACTGGAGGGTCATAGGCTTGGACTGTCCATTCTGTTTGGTCAGTTGCATGACTGAAGCAGGGATCTCTGTTCTTGCTGTAGCCATTGTCAGATGTTTTCCTCAACGGTTTCAATCAATTGTATCTTTTTGTGTGTGTTTTTTGTGCTACTTCTGAGCTATTTGTTCAACTGTTTTACTGTTACGCTCAATGCGCTTTTGTGTAAACAGTTTCCGGTACGTACAGACCTCTTAAAAAGAAGAGTGTCTGGCGTATAACAATTATTAATAATAAGCTCTCCCAAAATAGGAGAAAATTATATTTATATGAATAAATATATCACAAGCCTAGAGTCAACGTACAAAACAACTAGCAAACAAGTACTTGTAAAATTCAAGTCTTGGCCAAGGATTTCAAAAATGCAAGTGAACAAAAATCTATTAATGCCTTTCAAAAGTCACTTTTACGTTATCCCTGAAAAGTGACAAAGGTTTCACTTTTAATTCTTTTTTCTTTCTTTTTTAAACAGCTGGATTGCAGAAATCCTGAAGTACCCTCTATTTTCCTTTTGGTATCCAAAAAGTATAAAGTATTTACATTCAAAAGCACAAGGCTCAGCTAAAGGTTCTTAATGTGCTTTTAAAATTCTATATTCTCTTCGTCACAAGGAATTTTAAATTTCGCTCAGTGTCACTTGCTCGTATTTAACCTGCTAAAAAAAACAACCTCCAACAACACTGAGGGATTTCAAAATGAAAGTCAATGCAGGATTACGAGTCCAAAATTAAGTTAACAGTTCATAAATGTTTCCACTCTTGGCTTCGCGATGTGTCGTTTCTCCTCACTTTACTGTCACAGTTCCTGAACACTTTAGTGGAGGAAATCCTGGAACACCTGCCAAAATATGAAAATTTTAAAATAAAATTAGCTTCATTTCAATGGCAGGCTATTTCGGACATCAGGCAAAGTGTTTCGCAGTGTATCTTGAATACACATGAAGAGTTGTGTTCAAATCATATTAAAAAGAACCGAGCATATCCAGTATAACGTTAGTTCTGAGACAATAATACTTCACTTTAAATACACAAACTAGTTAACAAGACACGCGTTTAGCGAAGTTAACAGTTTCAAACATTTGTTAAAAGAGTGTAACTTAAACGCCTGGAATTCGTATGACCATTCGGATTAATAACACATCTGTTGTTTCAATTTGAGTCTGATTTAAGATCCTTTACTAATTAGCTAAAGGTTTAAAGCTAAGCTCTGAAGCTAAAAGTGTGTGCAAGCGTCAGGACAGGAGTTGTAAGCGGAGCTAACTGAGCCAAGTTAGCCGACAAGCACCACAAAGGTGGTGTATCGACAAAGTTTTTTTCATTTCCGATTCAACGAAAGAGTTCCCGAATATAGTTCAGATCATTATATAAGAACAGCTCAGCGCAAAACGTTTTTTATTTCTGGGAAAAGAGTGAACTTTGTTTTCCGAGTTGAGAGATTGGTTAACTATATTGAAAACATACTATTTAACAGCATGCTAGCTCAACCTGCCGATAGCTTAGCTAAATGCTAATAAGAGCGCAAGAGAGAGACGTTGTGCACGTTGGGAAAGATACATGTCTATTTTAACTAAATTCATGTTTGACTATGTTTACCTCTTAAATTGGGAGGAGTTGAATCTTCGTGGATATGATTAATTCTTTCGAATGTTTCTTGAGAAATTCTTTGTTGCTGTGGCTTTTGTCTCTTCCGTCTAGAGATTTAACATGGCCGTGCGCTGAATTGATCTCGAAGTACGTAAACGCATCGAAAAAGCGACGTCGACCAATCAGGTAAACGGGTTTGAATTTGGTGGGCGTTACCATTGACATCATATGATGTTTATGGGCGTTACCGTAATCAAACCCACCCACGTACCTCGGGGACAGTGCCTGTGGATTTTCAGAAACATTTATCATCACAAATAAAATCATCACCCAACACAACTTTTATATTTCAAATCAAGCATGCACATAATATTTTGTTGTGGTGATAATGTTTCGTCATGTATGAAAAATCATCACATTAACGTGATTATTAACATAAATAATAAATATTGATGAGGTATATTTATATAATAAGAAGAAGAAGAAGAAGAAGAAATCATATTGGCTACTATATTATACAAATATTAGTCATGAAATGCATTAGATATGTATAAAAATATGTATTTTTTATTCAAAGTAAACTAGGTTATTTTATATTGCTGCACTTATATTCACACATTCATAATAAAATCAAAATGTATACATTACTGCCAGCAATATCACCATTAAGTACCTCTTTTGAAATTCATATCAAAGCCCATGCTGTATCATGTTAATCACAGTTTCTAAAGATTCCGGAAATGGTTTTAACTCTCCTGTTACCCACAGTTTTTTTTTTTTCCCACACTGGCTTCCTACAAGATTATACATTTTAAGACAGTGAGTCAAAACTCATAATTTGTCACTTCTTCTGACAGAGATTTCAAGCTACCGTTCAAAGATTTGCACTGAAATATAATTGGCACAAGTAACAATTTTGGTATAATCAACAGGCACATAAATAATATAACTGCAAAAAAAAAAAAAAAAAAAAAATCTCAATTTCAAAATGCTTTCTTTAACAATAGTTGACAACGTTCATTGTAGATAAAATTGACCTCTGATGTATTGTACTTGGTTGAAATTGGCTGTCATGTGTGTACCCTAATGATACATGTTTGAGGGCCTAACTGTGTGAAATACAATTTTTGACAGTTACATTTTTTGTAAACGAGATTTTCTGTCATACGAATTTGGGTAACTTAATTCTGGAAAATCTGAACATGGGACTACATGGGAAAACCAAAATGCTGTCAATAAATATACAGACTCCACAGTAAAAAACACAAATGAAACCGGGAAAAAAAAGAAAATATCTGTTTCTTACTATAGAAGTATAAATATCATAGCTCTTTAAAATACATGACAAAATCCAGCATAATCATTTCAATTACATAGCAAAACACTTGGTAACACAAATATACAGTAATGTTCTTGATTTAGCAAAACTTCATAACATCAGCATAAACTTATCAAAATTTGAAAAGATTTAACAAAATGTTTAGATATATATATATGCATGCTATAAATCAGTCAGTATGTGGTCAACCGCAAATAATATTCAAACACCACTTATAAAGGAATCAGTTCACCCAAAAATCATCATTTACTCAATCTATGGTCACCAAAGCCAGTTAGTTACTACATACAGTATGTTCAAACAGTATTTTAATTTTTGGGTGAACTATCCCTTTAAGAGGGACAGCTGTTTAAATATCTAGCAGCTATCAACTCACACCTCTTTCTTCACTGTTTACACTCACAGTAGACATGTCTGATTGGTCACTGCTCCGACTGGATGGCCGTGATTGGTTACCAGCACCCTGTGAGGGAGAGCCATATGAGATTGGCACAGGGATACTGGGGAGTAAGATTATCTGTGTATCCGAATAATATGGAGGTCTTTGAATACCAGGGGAATAGTAAAGAGGGGAAGAGATTAGAGTCCTTCTCTGGATGTGAGAGACAGGTGGCTTAATTTGGTCGTACACAGACGGTGACACATATGGGAAAGGATGGAGTGCCATTCCGTACCCTGCCCTGTTGTCTACTGCCATATTATGGTGTGTCCGAGGCAACATTTGCAGAAAGGTTTTTTCATTGCTGTTCATCGGTGATTGACGTTCTGAAATGTTCTCTGCTGACCGACTTCGTGGTAAATTTGGAGTCACAGGAGAATGCGATGTACTGCGCTGAAAAGTGGGAGTCATCTGGGGAGAATGGTTGGAGCTGCCAGGGGACAGAGAGCCTAAACAGGGACAAAAAATGACTAAAAACTTTAAATGGCCTACTTTAGGTGTTTAGAGATAATTTCACTCTTGTCATTTCAGAGAGACTCTTACCATTACTGCCAGGTAACGTTTTCCCATTGCAGGTGCGAGTGCCCCTCCCACGCAGCACATCAGACACCTTAAGACAAAAACACAAAAATACTTGTTTAGATGAATTACAGAAGTTATGGTGACACACATGGACAGATTATGGGGCCGATGTTGTTGTTTTTTAAACTTCAGGGACCTTTAACTTGAGAAGTCACAAACTTGAGATTAAATCACAAATTTAATCTCTAGTTTTAATGTTAATTGCTATTTTGTTTCTTTTTCTCTTAGAAGAAATGGTCTCCATAAGGCTTCGAACAACAATAATGTATCTTTGGTGACACGTCTGACTGGCAATTAAAGTGTATGGTTAATATGCAATACAACTGAGCAATGTAAGTTTTGTGAATCGCCACTTGTTGGCAGAGTTGATGTACAATAAATATATTTTACTGACTTTATTAACTTTTATATGAAAGACTTAGTGACTTTCTCTAATTTATTTTTAAATATTATGTTGATAAATAAAAAAATCACTTCGCTTTGTAAATAAATACATATCTAGGCAAGATTAATAAATATACAGTACATGTTTTCAAATGCATTACTGCCATTCTTTCAGTTCTTACCTTTTTGTTTTTTGCTACCATGATGGCAGTGTCATTGTGGTTGTTTTTAAGACTACTGTCAGCTCCATTCTTCAGCAAGACCCTGACAATCTCTATCTGACCTCTGCCACAAGCGCTGTGTAAGGCTGTATTCCCACTATAAGACTGTGCGTTCACATCACACCCACTCTGAATGACACAGCACACAGAAAAAAATCATTATAAACACTAATAACTGCTTCTCATCCACTCTCATACAAACACTGAGTAATAATGATTAATAGATTTCAGTCTCATAGTTATACATGTTCTTTCCTGTGCTCACCAATAGAGAAGTATACAAGATAAAAATGAAAGGAACAGACAAAAGTGATGATCGAGAAAATGACTGGCTTAATAGCTGACTCATTGGATTTCAACAGAAATCTCAACAGAAAAAAAAAGATATGCACTCACACACCTCGATCAGAAAGGTGACCATGTCAATAGAGTTGTTTTCTACAGCATGAATCAGTGCACTGCGACCGCTTTTATTATCCTGTGTTAAAAGAGAAAAAGAGACATAATAAACAAACAATTGAACCATAGAGACCATAATACACAACTAATTGCACCGATACTGCAGGCATAGTATCACATCTGAAAGCATAAAGATAGTGTATATGATATGAGAACAAATTCACTGACCCCAGCGTTGATTTCAGCTCCGCTCTCCAATGCGAGTCTTGTCAATGCTTTATCTCCTTTCTGCACAGCCAGGTGGAGGGGTGTCAGACCTTAAATTAAAGAACAAAATATTCATGAAGGGAGTTTCGACATGTTTCAACAATACACTACAAATGTGTTTCTAGGGACTTTTCGATTTGTGACAGCAACAGGAAATGTCTCATCTTACATTTGTTAGACATGAATGAAGCCAATATCAACTGCAAGTACTGTTTAGAAAAATTATAATATTCTGAAACTTTGAATAAAAAAATAAGATAAAACACTATGAAATTTATAAAAAATAAAATAATACTAACGGTTTAATTCAGCATACTTAAAAAAATACAGTTTTCTTTAGTACTACAGAAGTGGTTGTCTGTTACAAGAGGAAATTATTGTGTCAGAATCCACAAATAAAGCTAGATGGTGATATTCTCCCCTCCTTCCAGATGAGCAAAGATTTTCCGAAACATAATCATACATTCATGCATGAAAATCCATGAAAAGGAGCTGCCCCCCAGTGGAACACAGCACATAGCAAAAAAGTTTGGCCTTCTGAAGATGGCATATATAATTTTCCAAAACAAACAAGATAAATGTTCATTTCCAGTTATGTATTTGCTTATATTGCTGTACTAAACAGGACTATATAGTTAAGAGAACTGTAGTGTCAGCACATCCATTCAAGTGGCGCTCACTGCAGAGCCAAATGGGTGGATCTTGACCAAGCTCCACCCCTGCAGATTTAAGGCATGAAGCTTAACCTTATTATGAAATAACATTTCCCTATTGTGCTACAAAAAAATACATGTATGTAATTCAATAAATATACCATTCTAGATGTAGGTCCAGCACTCACCCTCATAGTTCCTGATCTCCAAGTGGGGCAAAGGGTTTTGGGGGTAGTGTCTGAGGATGACAGAGAGGCAGTTTACATCTTTGTGCTCACAGCACAAGTGCAGCGCTGTCTGTCCATTACGGTCCAGAGCTCCGGGGTCAGATCCTGCATCCAGGAAAGCTTTCACCAGAATAGGTTGATGGGTGATTACAGCCAAGTGCAATGGTGTCTGAGAGAGAGAGAGTGAGTGAGAGAGAGAGAGAGAGAGAGAGAGAGAGAGAGAGAGAGAGAGAGAATTACTGATTCAGTTAATCAAATCCACAGTATATTTAAGAGCCAGTTATATTTAGACCACATGATCAAAACTCTCAAAACTGTCATTGCGTGTCAATATTTAAGCTGAGTATCAAAACAAATCTACAACTCTGATGTCTGATAAGGTGTTCAGGTTTATTTGGACTAATAGGTTGAGTCATATCCTGGTGTGGATTCCTGTTACCGTAGCTGCTAACCTGGAACTTGTCTAACAGGTTAAAGGTCAGTTCCACAGATCTGATGAGATAAAACCGGGTTAACGCCCCTTTGTAAACAGCTATGCGGTGACTTATCTATCACATCTAACAAACTACCGGTACTACAACAAGCGTGAACTTTTTTTGGTAAAGCAGTATTAAGAACAAAAATTGACTGTAAAGTAATCCCTTTCAACTATTTGTGAAAATATTTTGGTTTAAATAAGCACATATTCACTCTTTATAGCATTACAAATGTGCTACAAGTAAATTTGTAATGTCTCTTTTCACTTCAGTTATGGAATGGTTTGCATCGGTTGCATCGCTGAATATTACTGTCAATCGTTTCTATTGCATTTCTACTGCAAAACAATTGTAATTCGTGCTTAGCTTCTGTGAATAGTTTTTTTTTAATGAAATATTTAATTTTCACCAATAAATTAACCGACATAACTGTAATACACCGAAGTTTAAGTGTCTGCTTGTGTGTACACATTAGTGAAACTTTACAAGTAATCTTGGTCAAACCAATCATAGAGAACTTTATTTTCGTTTCCTTCACCTGAGGTAAAATTCTTGAGAACTAGCGTTGTTGAAAGCAGTTAAACAACAAAGTGAAAGAAAAAAAACAACATCAAGGGTTACAGACAAGAACTGAGAGTCAAGATGACAACACACAGCACTAGTTCCTTCAATGTAAGCATATACAGGGAGCAAAAAAGCATTACATTAGTCACTTGACAGTTCTTGAAAAGGTAAATGTTCAATCTTGCATTCAGACATACAATAAAATCATATATCCATATATCCAAATCATATATCCATAGATCCATTTCTAATAATATAGGAAGCTAAACCTGCATAATTGAAATAATCTATCGTGAAGATTAGAAAAAGATAAAGAGAGGTTTGTGGTTTTCAATGATACCCACTAAAGATTAGCATCAGTTCAGGCTTGCTAGCAGGTAAAGTTGGTTCTCGGCTAGCATAGAGAGGAGGGACTGGTTTGTCACCGGAGGGAGGATGTTCCAGTAAGGCACAGTAAAAAAAAAAGTACAACGAGAATGAAGACAGAAATTCCTCTGCTGTCACAATGCCTTTGGCCCTCCCTTCCTATGAAAACAACTCTCGTATTTCCCTGAATCCTCTCTGACTCACTCACTTTTGTGTATGTGCTAAAAGACATGTTACCACACACATAAAATTTGATGGATTTTTCTTTGTGCCCAGATCAATCATTACAAATCTAACTTAGAAACAGTGATGGATAAAACACAATCACATCCTCTTTAGGCATGCCCTGAAACAGGAAATTGTATAAGAAAGGACGTTTTACATAAGAAGAGAAGTTTTAGTGCAATAGTACCTTTCTCATAATACAATTTCAATGAACCTGCAATAACTGACCAATAAACCACCAATAAAGGTTTAAAGAGGAAATGGAAATGCTTGGAAGAGCATGAGGGGAGAAAATGAGGGATGAGAGAGATAGAGAGAAAGGGAAAGGAGGAGCCGGAAATGATTGAGCAAAGGGAGCGATGAAGGGAAGAGATAGATCAGAGAGGGAAAATCCCTTTCCTCTCCCCTGCAGTGAGTTCTTAGGCTCACATTCCTGTGTGTAAACACAGAAAAAAAAAGAAGAAAAGACAGAAAAAAGGGGAATCTTGGATGAATAAGGAAAGTGATTGAAGGGAAAACTCATGACACATACATGAGCCAAAAACCCACTCTAGCGAACTGAAACTAAATCTTGCATAATTTTGCATTGATGACTGGGCTGAAACAAGAACACAAGGACACGAAAGGAAAGGAAAAATAAACAGTGCACTCAATCCATGCAACAAAGGTATGAATGCTGTTTTATACATTCATGTCACACTTTTGAAATGAACCCCATGTATGTGAAGCAAGCATGATATTTAATGCAAAATAAATATTGTATGGCAAAATAGAGCCAGATCTAAATAACTGAAAAATCCAGGATAAACCAGCATAAAAAGTTTTGGCAGTCTTATGTGGTTTAAGCCTGTCTCCCAGACTGACCAAATTTGAGGTCAGCTGGTTTTAGACTGGTTGGCCATCTGGTCCCCCAGCATGACCATCTGAAAAGTGCCCAAAATCCCTCTAAAACCAGTCAAATGAGCAGTGTGACCAAGTTGAGCAAGGTAGCTATTTGGCTATTGTTAGGCTCCTAATCTACTACAACAAGTTTACATGCATCAAAGGAAAAAAAAAAGGAAAAGAAAAGAAATTTTATCATAATATACATTTCACACCACCAAATGTTTTGATGATTCTTAAAGGTTCTCTAAGCGATGTTACGCGTTTTTTAGGCCCAAACATTTTTGCCACATACAGCAAACATCTCTTCACTATCCGCTAGCTGCCTGTCCCCTAAACACACAGGGAAAAAAACGCGGCCTATGCAGACAACCCAGGCTCCATAAATGGCAACAAAAACAAACTGCGGCAACCCGCTCCACGAAACATAACAAACTGTTCCAGCCAATAACTGACAAGAAGGCCCTGGGGGTGGGGTTTGGGGGGTCAGTGCAGATGAGGAGGAGGGAGGGTCTATCTAGCCTCCGTTTTGTTTGAAAATACTTTAAACGTCAACAAGAAGTCACGTCACCTGACATCGCTTAGAACACCTTTAAATGACTCGATTGATGAATCAGCCTCTGTAAATCACTCAGTTTCCGTGAGCCTACTGTGCTCTGATTGGCCAGATGGCCCAGTCATTAGATGTTTACAACTGTAATTACTCACCATTAGCATTAATACGTGTATGTTTATCAGAAAACCAATGTGTATATTTCAAATTTATTGTGGTGCACATGCAGGAACTGAATCAATAACAGCGCATACATTAGTCGAGCACTAACGTAAAGGACTGACGTAACATTGTAAAATAAATCTGGCTCAATCCTTTATCTTTACTCAAAGTAGAAAGAAAGACCAACCTGATCTCACGGCAATTTGTACGAATTTTACAAGGTGGCTAATTCATAACAATTCATATGACCTCACTCATACAAATTAGTAGGGTTTTTGCTAAATCGTACATACTTTACGAGTTGCCCAATTGGCATGAATTCGTACGAATGACATACCCCTGACCACGCCCCTAAACCTACCCATCACGCGGGTTTAGACAAATCGTACAAATTCGTACGAGTGATGTCGTACGAATTCGTACGAAATAGCCACCTTTTAATCACTCGTACAAAGTAAAAGGTGGCGACCAATTCGTATCTCTTGCCATACGAATTGGTCGTGAGATAGCGTTGGAATGACAGATAATCTGCATTAATAGACACAATTTTAGATAATAGTGGCCAAACAGCTGATTAGCAGAACCATTTCAGTAAGACAGTGATAACATGATTTAGCCTTCAGGCGGAAACTTAATACTACATATTTTGAACACACGGTAGAAAATATATACACCAATGATTATTTATATTTACAGGTTGTGTTTCTGAGGAACAAGCTGGTCGAAATAAACCGAGAACGGATCTTTCAAGAGCAAGCGTTTTGCGAATCACGTGTTGATCTCTCGCGAGATTCAAGAAACAGTCGTCAGTTTACAACGTGCTACATGCAAATGTATCTTCTAGTGACCTAGAATCGCAAATCAGTAGGTTTCGAATGAAAAACAACTCATTAAGGCAGTTCAGAGTCCATTTTTTCTTTTGGGAGAGAGACAATAACTTTATTTATCGTGCACTTTCGACTTTACAACGTTTACATTCAGAAGCAGCTATATTGCACACTGCATGAAAGGGGATATTCGAAAAACTGTAATAGGGGCACTTTAACATTAAATAACATAAGTTGAAAGGAGGAAAACAGAAGGTATTTTTTGAAGTAACATGCACCAATGAATCGTTCACAACAAGTCCAGGAACATGCATTAAGGAAGTCAACAGGCACTATTTTAGGATGTGCTTTATGCTTGGAATTAATGCTAATATAGCTATGTAAAGTTAACTTATGGGTTAGGCTTTCTGTGAAGCTATCAATGGGTCTCTTACTTGTAGTAAAAGAAGACAGGAGTGTTTTATAATTCAGGGTAAAAAAGATAAGCATGTTACAAGAGTGCAAGAGAGAGAGAGAGAGAAAGCGAGAGAGAGAAAGAGAGAGAGAGGGAAAGTCCCTTTTAATACCCTTCAAACCTCAACACAAGGTATGTTGAGAAACAACCCAGGGTGTGAGGGGGGGGGGGTCATGTGACTTCTCGGAATGAGGATACTTAGTTAAAGCGGCTGCTGTATGCATCTGAACTTGTGTTTGCACATACACTCATACTAGTATAAAAACATATACAGTAAACTGAATTCGCCGACAGGCCATGCAAACAACTCATCAGCTGCTGTCTTGCTTGACTGATAAAACGCAAAACACATTTGTCATGTGCACACACACACACACGCACACACAAATGTCAGTGTCAGTCATGACAGACATGTGGGAGGACAAGATTTACAAAAGTGTGGAGCTGAACCAGAGACATGGCGATGCAAGTCTACCATTCTAGTGGTAGTAATAATAATAGCTGTAGTAACACTTTCCTCTGTCTCGTACCAGTCAGCTGTGTGTCTACCTGCCATTATAATATCACACATTAATCAGATAAATCATTGTATTTCCTAACAAATCTTGGATTTGGAAACACCAAAACTGTAATTTTCTTCAAATGCTGCAATAAAAGTTAATCAAAACTCCATCTAAGCTTCAAAGACATGCGAATGTGCAGTTCACATTTCTGGGGAAATAAGAATTGAACACAGGATATAACACAAATGTTAACCTCAACAATCTGACAGAAACAAGTTTCAGGCCGCGGCTAAGACATACACGCAGCTTCTGGTAACTGCCGACTGCCTGTGAATATTCAAGCATTCGTGTTTGTGTGTGAAAGTGTGCGTCTGTACGTCAAGTGAAACCTAAACGTGAATTTGAGGTAATTTTTGATGCCTGGTTAGACATGCAATGGCGGTAATTGATAATGTGGTTGAGTGTCAGTGGTGGAAGTAAGGGTTAACACAACCAGGAGTTGCAAAAAGGTGAAGAGCAGGATGTGAAAGCCTGGGAACAGTCTGACTGGTCTTCTGACACATGGGAGCAAGATGAAGCGAAGCACACAGTGTGTTGTGGTGGCCATGTGGTGAGCACACAAGTGGGCAGGCCAGTGACTATTAAAGGTGCTCAAATAACCGCAAACAGTACGGCGGCACTGCCTGAGAACAACAGTGCCCTAGGAGTAATTTCCTCTTCTGTTCAAACCTAGGCTACATGTATCTCGTCACAGTTAAGAACACTATTGTGGAAATTTACAGTTATGGCCCACAGGGACAAGAACTCAGGTTTAACTAGCCCGGTGTAGTTTGTTAAATCCTCTTAATCCAGCAGTCACTAACATTAATTCCCTTCTTTCCTTCACACCCTGCTGAGAAGGCCGAGGTAGGTAATAACACTTTACAATAAGGCTCAATTTAATACATCATGAACTAACAATACAATTTTATTTTACAATTACAAAATTACAATATTTCCTCCAGTATTTCTGCTATAATTATGACAAAGCTGCTTGTTTTTATAAATACAAACTGGAAAACAAACAAAACCACGTGTTAAAAATAAAAGTTTTTAAAAAATATATGATTTCTTGATTTTTAAGTGTTTTAATTAAGCATTAAATACTTTTTTAATATTAAATATTCCAATGATTTAAATGTATTCATAATTATGTTAATATAATTATTAATAATAACATCATAATTTGAATAGTTTAAAGGCATAGTTGTCACTAAATTCTTATTTTGTAGACCCTTCGCAGGGAGTTTGTTTGACAGGCGATCTGACTAATCATAATCCGCCATCCGCTGAATCCCACCATTTTTGTCTGACAAAGCAGTGAGAAGAGTTAGTAAATTAACGTTGGAGGATTTGAACTTGAAAAACGGAGTGTACTGATATCTTTCCATGCTATGAATTAACCAGAAGGAAGAGATGATTGGTTCACGAGCAGCTTTAAGAGGCTCTGTCAGACACAGTAAAGAGCTAAAGAGAAATTTCTTTTAAAAAAATGACCATATTTGAAAGTTGAGACTATGTTTCATTTCAAAAGTAACCTGTTCTGTCCTGCCTGTTAGCACCTTGTCAGTGTCCTCTTTACTCCGTAATGTATGTTTCACTGAGTGAGAATATGGTGTGTGGCTTGACAGTGTCGCTTGTCAGACATATCAACAGTAACTACAGGGGGCGGATCTTTGCGAACGGTCAATTGCGACTTTATATCACACAATTCTGAGATTTGCGAGAATTTCTGAATTTTTTTATTCCATGGCGGAAACAAGCTGCCATCTTAAGTTGTTTCATACCTGTATGAATTTCTTTCTGCTGCTGAAAACAAAAGAAGATATTTTGAAAAATATGGGTAACAAAAAAAGTTGATGACTTCCATATTAACTTCCCATTGACTGAAAAAAAAAACTATATAAATCAACTATTTGGTAATCAATATTCTTCAAAAGATCTTCTTTTAGGTTCATACAGGTTTGAACAACATAAGAGGGAGTAATTGATGACAGATTTGGATCTATCCCGTTAAAAAATAAAACCTTATTGTATAATGCAACCTATTTTGATGTGTTTGTATATACCTTACCTGCCGTAGGTTATTGAAAATGTCCAGGTCTTTGTGGGCCCGTCGAAATATTTCAATAAGCCATCTGACCAGTTGGATGTTCTCCTTGACCACAGCAATGTGAAGAGGTCTGCAAATAATACACAGATGCATTAATTACCTAAACACAGAAATAACAGCAAAAGCAGCATGCATAGTCCTGTAAATTCATAACCACACAAACAAAACTAGCCCCATCAAAATATATAGTGATGCATTTCTTGTAACAATACAGGGTTGACTGTCTTCTTTAACGGCCTGCACAAGTCAACCAAAGAGTTCAAAAAGTTGACTGAATGACACTTCACCTGGTGGACTAAAGGTTTGTAAAAACAATCATGTGTATGACTCATATTGTACACAGTGGCTTTTAATGCAACCAGTGTTGGTGAGTACAGGGAAACGCTTATCTCCCTATCATTTCACAGAAAGCCTCTCTGAGGTGAGAGTGTAGAAGTCAAAGTTTGGGAAGAGGAAGAAAACTGCGTGAGAAAGAGAAAGGGACTCTTCATGAAATCTTTTAAATTATTCTTTTTTTTTTTTTTCTAATTCTGCTTCCAGTAACAGCTACTTTGGTTTGAAGTCACTTCCTGCCCTCAGGGACAATGGCACCGTTCTTTCTGTTTTGAATACTAATTATCATTATATTTACTGTTGCATTAGGGGCTTTCTGTGCTTTTCAGACTCCTCTAGCAGGACTTCCCATGAAACCCTGAGAAATGTACAAAGAAGAACCTTGCACTGACTTGAAACACAAGCATGATACATATTCACAACTTATCTGAAGAGTACAACATGCACCATTGTATACCAATTGATCACTATTAAATGCATAACAATATTAAAAGAGTGGAATCAATACTATGTGCAGAGTGCATCAACACATGTGGCCATAGAATATTGCACATTATAAAACAAACATCTGAAGTCATCGAGATAAAAGATCATTTCAAAACACTTTTAAGCATGCCTAAAACTTAGGGTTGTTATCAATGTAAGTTATTTTCTTGCATTATGAACTATAAAACAGTTCTTGTGGAAAGAATGTTAATAGATGGGAAGTCATACTGCAGCAACTGGAAAAATGAGAGAGGGATAGAAAAAGGGAACCGTGAAGAACAGGGGCTCTCATTGTTTATATTGTCTTTTGAGTCACTGTGGGATGAAACAAGCCGGAACACAGACCGTGGGGAAGCCAATGGTTTGAATTATGGAGCTGATTCATTTTTCTAGTGATAAATGTAAACATTGTCCTATAATTGGCTGTTGCAATTGTCTCATGTGGGTTATTCCGTTGTGGCAAGAGTTTGGAAATAAAACAGAGAAGGACATTTAACCACAAGAGTATAAGAACAGGTGATATATAACATAAGATCGAAGAAGATTTTCTGTTTGGCTCAACAGTCACCATACAATCCTACATGAAGCATCAAACCAAAAGAGGAAGAGAAGAGCGATCTAGTCAAAATGAATACAAGCTGGCCTGACCCAGGCTATGACTTGCCTGAACTGCCTCCTCCTTGCTTTTGAGAAGAAAGCAGAAGAGATTATTAGTAGCTTAATTCTTTCTTTATTAGCCTCCTTTCCTGTAAGTGAGGTCAGCGTCAACGTACTTCAGGAAATCTCATGCTTTTTCAGTTCTGCCATCAGGGCCATGTGTTCAGCCCTTGTGACAAGAACTTTGTAACAAGGAGTCTTTATCGGGTTTATCAGAATTGTATGTTTACACAGAACGAGTAAAACTGGCCTGTGTCATGTTGCAAAGGCATATATGGGGCAGAGTGATTTATTTTTTCTCTATGCATCAAAACTGCTACTTGCAGCACGAAATGAACAAATCTCTGCCTATTGCATTTTCAGTAAGCGCTAGTAAAGTCATGGAATGGAAATTACAATCGCTTCCTATATTGGGACTTATATTTGTGTAAAAAGGCTTCGCAAACAAGACAAACTCTAGGGCAGGACATGATTTTGTCAACCAGAAATTGATTTATTTTTGTTTGCTAATTGCGATCTAATCTGAGTGACAGGTTACTGGACGGGAACTGCACACGTCACCAGAGAAAAGATTAAAGTCAGCATGAAATGGAAGTTGTGACGGTCTTTTGTTCCCTATGAACACTGCTTCCCGAACAAGAAAAAATGTTGACAAAATGACTTGATTTTATCCTTTGTGAATTGATTGGATTGTTGGATGGTTGTTGTTTACTATTGCTGTGATCTCATGTGAGTGACAGGTTGTCCCGCCCTCAAGGCCAATAAACACATCATAGGAGAAGATACTGTATGAGAAATCACTGCGGGTTTTTGATGAATTTGACAAAAAATAACGATGTGCACAGATAAATTATTTAGAATAAGCACCGGAATATTACATAAAATAAATTAAAAAAATATATAAGGATTGAATATTTTATTTAAACATAAAGTGAGTAAATTCATTATTGCTGTAATAACAGGTCAGGCTTAATTACAACACAAATTTATACAACATTTAAAAGACAGTCCCTCCTCCATCTGCATTCACCAAGGGGTTCTTGGGCGGAACTGATAACAATTGAAGACCCCTGACTGTCACGATTATTCTTCGTTGCACTATCACAGACTTTTCGTTTGTTTTAACCAGTTTCCTGCCTTCCTTTGTTCAGTTTTCCCACCACTCTTTAGTTGTTATGGTAACAGATTAGTTTTCAGTTCAACTGTGTGTCATTAATTACCCAAGGTTTGCTGTGTTTGTTCACCCATTTTCTGTTCATGTTTCCGTATAGCGGTTGGTTTTGTTTGCTTGCCTTGTCTTGTATTAGCCAACCTTCTGAGTGGATTAAAGACGTTATACCTGATCTTCATCTTCTTTGTGTGTTCCTTGCAACTGTAACACTGATATAGTAGAATTTTACGAAGTAGCCAGTTCGTACGAATTCATACGAATTCATACGTCCTCACTCGTACGAATTAGTAAGATTTTTGTTAAATCGTACATATTTTACGAGTTGCCCAATTCATATGAATTCGTACAAATGACCCACCCCTGACCTCGCCCTTTAACATCACTGGGGTTTAGACAAATCGTATGAATTCGTACAAGTGAGGTCGTACGAATTAGCCACCTTTTACTTATACTTTGTATGAATTTGTACAAATTGATTGTGCGATACAGAATACATACAGAAAGAAACAACAGCAAAAAAGCAGGTAGCATTTCATTGAATCTGTCTGCAAAACGATTCTTTACATTTTATATCACTTTGTGTTATAAAGAAAAAAACCTAACTTTGTGTTTTGGATAGAAATAATGTACATAAAGCTATTTAAAGGGTCATGATCCAGCTTTTGAATTTTTTTTTATATTGTTGTCAGATTTTTTTATATTGTTGTATATTGAGGTCAACTTATGACGTTTGCTTGGTTTTTACATTAAAAAACATCAAAATGAAAAAGTAATAGGCTATTTTCTACCCTAGTTTTGAGCTTAGCTCAAAAACGCTCGTTTTTTATGGGCGTCTTGCATTGAAGACTTGGAAGTAAACGCCCACTGCTGTGAGTGGATAACAGTTTTGCATATTATAATGAGTTTCACTCTCGACCCGGTTTGTCATCACGAGGTAGGCAGGCCTATATTATTTAGCTATGCGTGTAATGCACGAATCGTTGGGCGGGGCTAAACCGGCCGTGTTGAAGTAGGCGTTGATCTTCTTCTGTGGGGGTGGTGTTTTATCCTCTTTGACGTCATAGTTCCCCACTTTGAAAAACGAGTCGTTTGCTGAGGCTGGTGTCAACAAAAGCTTTTACTGGACTAACAAGGACGTTTTCAGTTCTGAAACTTACAGGATATTCTTATAATATGATGACCTCTTAGATGTCAATAGCTCAAGGAAAACTTGATTTCTCAGTTCATCACCCCTCTAATTGTATGTTCTTGTCACATTTGATGGCCAATTAGTTTTAGTTTTAACATTTATTCATTTAGCTGACGCTTTTATCTAAAGCGACTTACAATTGCTATATATGTCAGAGGTCGCACGCCTCTAGGGGTTAAGTGTCTTGCTCAGGGACACATTGGTGTCTCACAGTGGATTCGAACCCGGGTCTCTCACACCAAAGGTATGTGTCTTATCCACTGCGCCATCACCACCATATTTTTATGTACATTATTTTTATCCAAAACACAAAGTTGGCCTTTTTTTGTCACAAATATGTCTGATTGATGATCACTGGCTTTGCTGTCACTTATACTGCAGGTCAGAATTTAGTTTCTCTCTCTCTTTCTTTTCGACAGATGAAACTCTCTGGGTTCCTGGAAGTGACTGAGAGTTAGTTAGACCGCAGCCACAGATAAGGCCCAGGCTGAGACTGACGTAGGAACCTGAACATCATCAGAAGGAGATGAAGGGCTTATGGCGGAGCAGTGGCGCATGTGTGGCATCCTGTACAGCCCAGAAACACAAACCAACATCCCCTATAGCACACAGACCTGCTGCTGGTGTAGCAAACAAACTCACAGCCTGAGACAAGACATAAACAGCCTGAACCAAATGCAACCACTCTTATTTAAAAAAAAACTTGAATGGGTATAGAGGAGACTATTAAAAATTCCAACAGCAAGATGAGAGAAACCCTTTGTCAAGGCTCTATGTTTCTCTGCATAGCCACGAGAGCTGAAAACAGCTTTCACATCACATACAACCTAAAAATCTACATGAATACATTTGACAGACACTTTTAACCAAAGTGACTTCTATTGCATTGAATACATTCCCTTAAAATCGAAAATCCAAGAAAACTTTGGCATTACTGATGGTGAAACAGAAATAAGTGTCGTTCCAAGTCTGTCACTTTGTTTCTTTTATGAAACACAAATGAAGATATTTTGAAAATTGTTTTTGTCCATATATGAAAGTCAATGGGGTCCCAAAAAATGTACATTGGACCCCATTGACCTTCATTGTGGGGACATTTTTCAAAATATCTTGTTTTGTGTTCCATAGAATAAAGAAAGTTATACAGGTTTGAAATGAGGGTAAATAAATGATGAGAGAATTTTTAAAGCATGCATGATCTGGCCTGTAATCTTATGGTGGTGCTTCATACAAATGCATAGACTACAAGAGAGGAGGAAGGAGGAGAAAGTGGGTATAAAGAATTGAAATGGCACAGGGATGTAAGCTTACAGTACAGAGCGAGGGGGGGCGATAAGCAACAGAGAAAAAGCGGTAAAGGAGGAAGTGAAGAGCGGATGTTTGGGTTTTTGAGCCCATTCATTTTAAACGCACGAAGCAGTGAAAAAAAGATGAAAGAGAGAGAGAGAGAGAGAGAGAAAGACACCTGAAAAAAAAAACCGCAGTCACACAACAGGCTCGCACTCACATCAGGCTTTCCCGAAAATGAGGGTCTGTGAAGTGCTGAGAAGAAAACAAGGTGAGAGCACGAGACACCCTTTGACGCAAGAGCCAGGACAGAGCACACACAAGGGGGGAGGGCAGTGTGTGAGAAAAAAGTTGTTTTTCTGTTTTTGTAAATGCAGTTGATTTAATAGCATGATTGACATACAGTATGTGTATGCAAACAATAGTCAGAAACAGAAATAGGGATCTACTGGAAACTAAATCTTTGCTAAAAATGTAAGCAGTGCAGCGCATCAGTTAAGAGAGGAATTGTGGTTTAAAAAAAAATCTCACCAATTAGAAAGCCAAACAAAATATCAACTACATTTTATTGAGAAAACAGTTCACCCAAACAGTCCACCTCATCGTTTGCATGTTATTTTTCAACTTACACAATCATTGTTATTGTTCTCTGGAACATATAATAGGTGAAATTCTGAAGAATTATACTGGTGGCTCTTTTCCATAAAATTACAATGATGAGCAAAAACACCATACAAGTGGTATGACTTGCGGCCTCGTTACATTTTATCATGCATTTCTTAGGAATCTAACACATGACACTGGTGTTGCTAGCGCCATGCTGTACCATTTGAATGCCAGGAACGCTGTATCTTCTTTATGAAAGAATCAAACATACATTTGTTATTCACTGACATTCTTCTTGAGAGCAAGTCAGGGATTTGAACTTTGAGAGCAGAAACAGTATTTGAGACTTATATCATTCAGACAGATTTTGTGAACAGGACTAAGTGATTCATTGAACGATTTGATCTGGAATCACTGCTTCTTTAAATGGACTCTCATTAAATGGATATTCATTTTAGTTCACCCAAAAATGATCTCATAATTTACTGACCCTCAAGCCATCCTAGGTATATATGACTTTATTCTTTCATCCGAACCCAATTGGATTTCTATTAAATAATATCCTGGCTCCTCCTGGCTTTGTAATGGATTTGAATAGTGGCTGAGTTTTTGAAGCTCCAAAAAGCACATCCATTCAGCATAAAAAGTAATCAGTCTCCAGGGGGTTAATAAAGGCCTTCTGAAGCGAAGCGAAGTAATGGGTTTTTGTAAGCGAAATATCCATATTTAAAGAGGAAATATCATGAAAATCTGACTTTTTCCATGTTTAAATGCTATAATTGGGTTCCTGGTGCATCTACCAACCCAGAAAACGTGAAAAGTGACAACCCAGTATTTTTGTTTTGGTAAGCCTTTCTCTGAAAGCAAAAAATAAGATGATCAGATTTGAGGTACAGTAGGAAGGGGATCTTATTATAATATTACCATCCCTTATTCTGCACGCTTCCACCCACACGCCGCCATTTGGTTTTCGCAAGTGACAACAGTGTAACCAGTTCTAACGCGATGGTAACATTTCCATCTAATAGTGGAGTGCAGCCTCTCCGTAAGGCTGCACTCCACTATTAGTTATTTCGGAGATTTTGGATGAGTGAGATTATGTAGGAATTTTTGCATTCAAACGAATAGTTCTCTCTAGCCACAGACAGTAAAAGAAATGGACACAGCGACCCCATAGATTTCAACAGAGAAAAGTGAAGCCAATTAGAAGCACTCACTTCCTGATGGTTGAGCGTACAGCGCAGACTCAAACTGAGCCTGATGACGTAGATGTGACGGGAGTAAGTATTCTAGTAGCTGTGCCAAGAGGAATCTGAATCATTCCCTTCCGAATCTTACAGAGACGGAGATTGTGAGTAGAAGCAGGAGCAACTTTATGACTTTATGCCTCCACGTCCCCCAGATTGCCCGCGAGCTTCTCCTCCTGTCCATGCGGTAATTTCTTTCCTGTGTGACAGAGAGTCCCGTGGTTATGACGCAATCGTAAGCCTATCTTTACAAAACAGCTTCTACGGGGCCATAACGTAAGACATAAAGTAATGGGGCCTTTTATACATTGTAGTTTTTCTTTAGACATAAATCATGGACAAATGGAGTCTTTGGATGCCTCAGAGGTAAAGTTATTCGCTGTCAAAGTGACGCCAAAATGAATGGGAGTCAATGGAATGCTAACAGCAGGTGAAGTTCTACTACAATGGGTCATTAGCTTCCGGCTAATGGATTACCTCCTTGTCTCTAGCACCTCGCTTTTTCAAATGCGTGTTGCAACTATGGTAGCCGTTACGTACAAAGAAGCTATGACAACATGTCTTCCAATAGCACTTCATTGAGTTAAACTATACATGTTCTACTGTTATGCTGCCTATGTAATGAATTACACAACCAAGCAATGAAAAAAGCTGGTTTCAGTCACATGACGCTGGCTCTGAATGAAAACGCATTGTGAAAACGCGCTAAGGTAGGCTAGTGCTTTTTGTCCCTCTCTGCTAATATAGTTTTTCAAGATGGTGGAATGACATGGAAGCCTCCATGGAATGTAAATAAAGATAAGATAAGTCAGATCATTGTAGAACATGTCGTGAACACAGCATAAGCATGAAGTTTTGGTTTAGGAGGAACTGTAAGATGACTGCTGTTTGTTTATGGCGCCCGGTGACTGTGTCTACTACATCCTACAAAAGGATGTGTGGAGGTATGGAAATACATATGTTGATACTGACAGGTAGGACATTGTATCATTGCATTCGGGCCAAATGACATACACAGAAGATATATGTACATGTTTTGAAATTTAGACCACTTCTATTATTGATTGCTTTTAGGATCAACCAACATAGAAAAATGTTTTATAAAACAAAATGCCTATCTTTACGGGTTGAGTAAATTACGGGATATTTTTCATTTTTGGGTGATTCCTTTAAAGGGGTGATGAACTGAGAAATCAAATTTTCCTTGAGCTTTTGACATGAGGTCATCATATTATAAGAATATCCTGTAAGTTTCAGAACTGAAAACGTCCTTGTTAGTCCAATAAAAGCTTTTATTGACACAGCCTCTAAAAACGTTTTTAAAAGTGGGGAACTATGAAGACAAAGAGGATAAAACACCACCCCCACAGAAGATGATCAACGCCTGCTTCACCACGGCAGGTTTAGCCCCGCCCACCGATTCGCGCATTACACACATAAGTATCATACATGTGCATGCTTACCTCGTGATGACAAACTGGATCGCTACCGAGCAATACAGAATATTGTGCAGTGCCTGGTTGTGCAAGACAGTCGCTGCATAAGCTTCCTGTGGATTCCAATAGGACTGCATGGATAAAATTTATTTTTAATGACGTTCCAGCTGATGAGGTAAAACGTCGTCTGTTCGCTTCATTTCACTGAGGATTGTTTTGTCAACAAGACTGGATTTGCAGACCGATTAAGAGTAAAGAACGGTGCTGTGCCGTCTATATTGGATCTGACAGGAATATTGTGCAACACACGGACTCTGGGTTGAACATGTATGGGCGAATCCGGTTGCCATTTGACAACATAGGACGTTTTCCCCCACGTACACCGACGGGTGAGTTAAACTCATTATAATATGCAAAACTGTTCTCCACTCGCAGCAGTGGGTGTTTACTTCCAAGTCTTCAGTGCGACACGCCCATAAAAACCTACTGTTTTTTAGGTAGGCTCACAACCAGGGTACGAAATAGCCTATTACTTGTTCATTTTGATGTTTTTGAATGCAAAAACCAAGCGAACGTTATAAGTTGACCTCAGACAACAATATAATAACATTTAAAAAGCCAGTTCATGACCCCTTTAATACTGTACATCATAGCTAGGAGCTAGGCCGGATTATCAGTGAATAAGGACTTCTAGTTTATTGAATGTTGGTCTGTTTCTCGTATGGCTTTAGAATAAAAAATCATATGAACCAATTTTATGATACTTTAGTGCACATTTTAAAGCTTGAGGTTCCTGTTTATTGGAACTACATGGAAAAGAGCAAAATTAACTATAAAAAAATTATTTAGTCAAAAGCATAATTTAGTCAAAATATTTTTATTTGCGTTCTGAAGATGAATGAATGTCTAAAGGTGCTGTCACATTTTCATACGCAAAATCCATTCATTTCAATAGGAATCTACAGTATGCAATTGGGAATTTTGTGTAAGGGCAAAATATTTCCCCATGCACATTTCGCAATGGGTTCAACTGATAAACCCTATTGACCAACTGAAAGCTGTGACTTCTGTGTGTGCTCTGCTTCATACATCAATATACTATTTGCAATAGAACGTGGACCTTTTTTTAAAGAATAAAAATTCACATATGAGGATATGACCACACATTGGGTTTGGAACAACATGAGGGTGAGTGAATAATGACAAATTTTTGGGGAGGGGGTGTACTATCCTTTTAAGTGGTATTTGTTTTATGGGATAAGCCAGATAAAATATGGTTAGTAAACATACGCAGTGCTCCATATATTATCACATTTCTCATAAAGGGAATCAGCTTAATTTGCTTACTAAGCATTAAATGCTCACAGCAATGTTTTTAACTGCTGCTGACTAAACCTTGATATCAATATTGCATGTCACCAGGTGTCATTTTTGGAGAAGTTTCACTCACATAAGAAATGATATTTTTATACTAAGTGAAGGTTCAGATATTACAGTAACATGTACATGTATTTGTGTTCCTGCCAAAGCCTGAGGGAGCCATAATGCTCATCTCTGGCATCCCCATGACCTATCACACTCATAAAACCATGCCCTGAAACAGCAGCACGTGAAATATCGAAAACCAGTTTCTCTCAATTACTCTTACTCTTACCCACAAGCTATACCCTCCTCCAGAGTCAGTCTCCTTTTCTCTTTCTCTCTTTCTCTCTCTCTCTCTCTCTCTCTCTCTCTCTCTCTCTCTCTCTCTCTCTCTCTCTCTCTCTATCTCTCTCTCTCAATCTCAGTAAAGAACAGATCATCTCTTTCTTTGGTGTTGATCATTACCAGATAAAATGATTTTGGTGGGCTCAGTGATCTTGTTGAACAGGAAGTGTAACAACTGTGATGAAATGTACTGGGTAACAGGGGTCACAATGACTCCCTACTAAATCTTGTCTCTTGTGATTCAACATAAACAGAAACACACTGGATCTATGACTTTTTTTGTTCAGGATGACTAAGCAAGAGTCAGAATGACACATCTAGGATAATTTGGAATTTCCAAAAAAGCAGAAAGTACATGTCACTGATAGTCATAATTTACATGTCACTGATACTAATAATAAAACCATGTGCAGTATAACAATGAAACCGACTATTTAAATATACAGTACAAACTATAAAATATGGTCTGATCTACTTCTTTACCCGTTGAAAATTCTCTGATGGAATGCACAATGGCCCTGTGACAATTTTGAGGGATGTTGTTTAAGCTTAATCAATTCTTAGACTACATCATACCACAAAACGAGACCTCATGGTAAGAGGTAAAGACTCACGTGTCACCATCTTCATCCTGACATGTGGCCGCAGCAATATCTGCCAGCAGACGATCTGTGCTTTCCAGTGGCGGAGGAGGTGAAAGATTGGGAACCGGAAAAGCAATGCATTCCTGTTGACTGTAATGCCGAGACAACTGGAAAAATGGATAGCCTGCTATAACTACAGACAAGAAAAAAATATTAATATTAAACAAAACAGCATGCATATCAAACCAACACTAATGAAAAAGAGTTAATTGAAGAGTTGGCCTGGTCATAATGAAAAATGAAAAACCTTTTTACCAGGTCCTTACATTTTACCAGCAAAGAAGAAGTAAAAAGAGATGTTTGCAAAAAAGTTGCTAAAGCTTGGGCTCAATTTTGGAAAGTTGCAGTGTGGATACATTTGGTTTAGATTATCTTTATGCCAAAATAAGATTGTTCTGTATAACACACTATCAAGAGCAAGAAATAGACATGTAACAGGAATGTATTCATGCCAATGTGTGACGCTTTCAGCATAATTATGTAGATTATTATTTGTAGGCTTATATTAGATTATCTGAAATAGCTAAAGGTGTTATCATAACATATGGCAGGCGCATGCAACGGTGTCTGGTCCAGTGGCAGGCGCATGCAACAGTCAATGGTCCAGTGTCAGGCGCATGTAACGGTGAATGGTCCAGTGTCAGGGGCATGTAACGGTGACTGGTCAAGTGGCAGGCGCATGTAACAGTCACTGGTCCAGTGTCACCGCATGTAACAGTGACTGGTCAAGTTGCAGCTCCCCCTGCCACGCAAAGATTTTACCCCTGCTGTTTGATGTTGTATAGCCTAACTTCACAGCTCATATTAAAATCTAGATTGTGGCCATATGAATCATACTGGACCAGTCACCGTTACATGCGCCTGAAACTGGACCAGTGACTGTTACATGCGCCTGCCACTAGACCAGTCACCGTTACATGCGCCTGCCACTGGACCAGACACCATTACATGCGCCTACCACTGGACCAGTCACCATTACATGCGCCTATACTGGACCAGTCACTGTTACATGCGCTGTATATTTACCTCCTCTCACACATAAGATAACACCACACAAGATTTTTTATCAACTTAAAAAAAAAAAAAAAATTAGGAGGGTCTGGAACAGGTCATTTTATTATATAGATTATAATACTCCCTGGTTTCACCTGCATATTTTAACCCACTGACACGTTCTGAAAACAGCTCAACCAAACATTCTTCTAATTAGCTCAATGGTTTCGCTTTGACTGTGGTTCGAGTCTGGACTGACCATGACTGCGCAACCATATTGCCGACGCACGCGTTCCACCCGAACGGACACATAGGCTACTTTCAAAATGACACCAAGTATGAACAAGTGGAATTCCACAAAGTCATCCAAGTTTCGCACTTAAAATATAATACGAGAGAGCAGTCAAAATAAACATATTGTAAACTTACGATATGGTGTTACGAACTGCGAGTCAGAGAATCTCAGCGGTGCATCTTTGTGTATTTGACCCACGGCAGAGTCCTTCAACTCTTTTGCACCCGGGCTATGTGGAATATTTCTTGGACCACTGGTATCATGATCCACATCCGGAGGGAAAGGACGTTTCTTTATCGGACGCGTGGAAAATGAGGAATCTGTCGGTTTCCCTGCAGCGTCCGTCTGACTGTTGCACTTCGGGGTTATAGGTCGGGTTTGTGTGGGACCCTCGCGCGTCCTGCTTGCCCTGACATCCCCATAATCTGTTTGAGTCGTCTGCGAAACTGATCCATCACAACTGTCCCGTGATTCAGGGGGAAGAATCCCGAGTCCAGTGCTGAACCTTTGCTTCGGTTTCACCTGTCTTTCTGGAGTATGTTTAGGGCGACCTTGGTCTCCCGGTTGCGCGCAGCTCCCACGCTCTCTGGTTTTGTTGGTAAGATCCAGTGGCACAGTGTGATTACTGCCGCTCATTGTCATTGTCCTCGTCCTCAGGTAGGCGATATATGGGTCCTAGACGAATCCTTTTATTAACATTGTGTCAATATGACTATCTTGACCTTGTCCCAAGATGACTATCACCTCTTGCTGTCTAGATTAAACAACATACTTACGCGCTTTGCTCAATAGGTTTTAGCACAGCTCACTGAAACATTTAAATTCATAGCCTCCGCGTATGCACAAAGTTTTCTATTAAATGGTTAGTTTAGAAAAAATAGAACTGAATAAACATCCTTATTAATTTCACATGCAATTAGAAGAATGTCATTTTAGGGCAATGACAATTTGTCATGTGCATTATTACTATTAGGCTATTGATCACGCGCTGCAGTCATGATGATAACCTCTGCGCTGTGCTGCTCGCTGACTCTATGATCTGAACTGAATTCAGAGTCTCCCTCTCTCATTCACTCAAATTAGGAAGTAGGTGGGTGAGTGAACTGGGGTTTTCCCTTTCAGCTGTAACTGAATCGCAGACTATGTAGCCTATACTACCCATTTGCGAAACGATTAAACGCTCTGTCGAAGGTGCAGTTCAGATTAAAAAAAACTTGTAGCATATTTATTAGACTATTTTGTACTTAGCAATATTATGCAAATTATCAACACTTTTACGCGTCTTATAGTGAAATGTTTCATGGAATCGGTTTCGGTTTAATTGTTAGATGAAGACTATTTTGTAGCAATATTATGCAAATTATCAACCCTTTTACGCGTCTTATAGTGAAATATTTCATGGAATCGGTTTCGGTTTAATTGTTAGATGACAGTGTTTTGCATATTTTGACGTAGCCTATTTTCTGGCTATTGAATCATTTTTCATTAGTGCAGCTGAATGTGTCGCGAGCTGTTGGATAACAGGTGTGCAGTTTTGCTTTCCTTTCAGCCGTAGCTTTACTCTTTCTCTCTCTCTCTCTCTCTCTCTCTCTCTCTCTTTTTTTTTTTTTTTTAATTTTGCTTACCCTGGTGCCTGGTAGGAAGCGGGCTGGATCTCCGCCGGGGATCTCCCCCACAGCTGTTGTCAGGAAACCTGCCAGGCTCGACCTCTTGTCTTCCTGTAGCCTTTTTCAGCGCATTCACATTGGGTCAGCGGATCATTAGTGACTGATTGATAAGAACTGATAAGATATGGTAATTTTCTTACATTAGAGTTTTGATTTATGACTCATATCGATGATAACAGCAAATTCATGTCTTTCACATGCATCTCAGCATCTTATCTGGAAAGCACCCCCATTTTGATCAGATCTCTTAAAGATGCATAGCCTGTAGCTTGTAATGTTTTTTGTTTTAATTTTTAGTTACAAAATAGAACCTAAAGAGAACATTAACGATAGGTTCTTTTGGTTCTAGAGAGAGAGAGAGAGAGAGAGAGAGAGAGAGAGACTGTTGCCAATGTTAGGACCAATAGGACAATGTTCGGTTTCACTTTATTTTGATAGTCTCTTTAACACATTCTGTTGGCTATAAGTAATGTTGCACCTATACTAAATCTTATTAGAGTGTTAGTAGAGTGTTGGTTGACTGGTAGGGTTAGGGTCAGAATAAGTTGATGTACTTGCAAAGTGACTTATATTTCTATAGTACAATGTCTGTTGGAGGACCAACATAATAAAGAGTTGGCAAATATTAAGCAGACAGTGAGTTTACTAATACTCTAATGAGAGTTAGTTGAAAAGTAGTTGTAACGTTATAGTCAACAGAATGTTTAAAAGGACCATCCAAATAAAGTGTTACTCAATATTCTGTGTTCGCTAGGAATTTGATATCATTAGCATCAGCCTTCTGATCCTGCTCTATGTAGAATCAAGAGACCTTACAAAAACACACACGACAAAAAAAAAAATCTGCATCGCCCATCTCTTTCCACCTACACCCCTTAGTTCCTCCTCACACCAGGGGTTTGGAGTTACCTGGGCCAGTTTGGGACTTTCCTTCACTGTGGGGTTGAACGGGTATGGAACTGCAAACGGAAAAAAATATAGGTGTTTTAAAGTCCCCAAAACACCAAGATAGAAGAGTCCACGGTGAGTCTGAACTTGTCAGTTATAGTGACAATACCACCCAAATGCTGAATCGCAGGCCAGTTTAGTTCCCATGGGCCAACTGAAGATCTACAGCAAATTAACCTTTTCATTTGAGCACACAATTCAATTTAATGATAAGTTAATGTTAGGGTTTTTTCTTTTCAATCACAGAGGGACATGATGAGGACTATATAAAGTGCTTAAGAGAGAGAGAGAAAAAGACAATAAGCAATACTGGTGTGTTCAACCTTGTTCAAATTTCGTTTAGGACAACCATATACATCCTGTTCTCAGGTTGTGTTTTCTTAGAATTGGCTGCATGGTACACATTTGCAGGAAAAGTGATAAGAGCTAACATATAGGCATGAACAGGCCCCCAAAAAAGTGTGCTTGAAATGACTACAGTGTTTGTGAGACTAAGGTAAGAAAATAACCTTAAAGGGGGGGGTGAAACACTCAGTTTCAATCTCATGTTAATCTTGAGTACCTATAGAGTAATACTGCTATCATATCTCCAAAAAGTCTTTAGTTTTATTATATTTATAAAAGAAAAATAGGCTCTACCGAGTCTTTCCGTAAAAAGCTGAGCGGGTGGAGGCGTGCCGTGTGGACGGAGCTAAATAATCACAAGCGCGCAAAGCTTTTACATTGAGAGCGTCTGGAAGCTATGGCTATGGCTAACAATCAAATCCAGCCATACATTTTTGATCCAGAATCAGATCCTGAGGCTGAAACTGATGACAAGCAGCAGCAGCAATGACTACAGCAGGACATCTCTATGTGGTGTGTACTGGATCTGTATAACTTACAGTATATTTGCGTAGCGGTTATTGTAAATGACTAATTTTCACTTAATTTCGATACAATTATTACAATACTATGGGCGCGTTCATACAGAACTCGTTTTTGCTCACAAAAACGTGAGATGGGCAGTAAAATGGGAGGAAAACACAAGGTCTCGAGTGCATCCACTGGTCCCTTAATGCTTGATTCTTTGGGAATCTGTGTAGTGTTGTCTTCCCTTGGCAACCGAAAACACACTTCTTTGGTGACATATTGCAGCGCAGCCGATGCACAGCGCTTTGATGGGCATAGGTTACGGCTATCGCTCTACAGCTGCGCACGCCCTTCCGCATAATCGCCTTTCAGCGTGTTTATGAACGCCGTTGACTTAACGTTATATAAATATATGACTTACCTCAACCCCGTCCCTAAACCTAACCGTCACTGGGGTTAATGGCATTTATGACAGTTCACTTACCATCCTAGATAAAAAAAAAAGATATGACTTACCTCAACCCCATCCCTAAACTTAACCGTCACTGGGGTTAATGACATTTATGACTGGAGATTTGACTGCATGTACAGACACGCGGAATGACGCGGACGTTAATGGCGTAGACATATACGCATACATGCGGATAGCTCAAAATGCGTAGAGATAACACGCCACCTGACTCGAAAGTGGCGTATATGTTTACGCAAAAGTCATGATGTCATGTTGCACCATGCATGAAATAGCATTTCAGCCCCCTTTAAATAATCAGATCTCATAGACCAGGGGATTGGCAATGTTGGTCCTGGAGGGCCACTGTCTAACAGAGTTTAGCTCCAACCCTGAAGAAATCACCTGCCTGTAACTTTCTATTAATCCTGAAGACTTTGATTAGCTTGTTCAGGTGTGTTTGATTAGGGTTGAAACTAAGGCTATGTTTACACGGAAACGATTCTGAAGAGAAAACGCAAAAGTGGTGTTGCGTCATCACTTTTTATTCTGCGTTTAGACGAGCGTTTTGTGTGGGAAATCCGCGTGAAAAAGTGTGTGAAATTCAACATAGTATGCACTTCAGGCGGCTAGGATTGCATACTACAACAACACCAAGTCCACGCGTCTGCATACAACCTTCACTGTCAAGCAGACTTTTGCGTTTCTACCGTTTACACGGAAACGCGGCGGTGGAGCGTTTTTGAGTGATTTCCACTCTGGAGGGTGGTTTCACTTTTTTGCGCTTTTAAGCCTCAAAAACGCTGTCGGGGTGTAAACGAAAGGCACATCCGATAAAATATTTTTACGTTTTCACCCGCGAGCGTTCTCGTGTAAACAGGGCCTAAACTCTGTAAGACAATGGCCCTCCAGGACTGAAGTTGCCCATCTCTGTCATAGACAGTAGGCCTCCTATAGACATTTTTTTAAGGTAGGTTTACTAACATTAAATGGGCTGACAGGGACTATTTCCAGGACGTGCTCCATTTGAATGCGCCATAGCAAACATTACTAGCTAGCACCCAGCTATATCACCCTGACTGGTTGCTCACTGAAGCTAAGCAGGCCTGGTTAGTACCTGGATGGGAGACCTCCTGAGAAAACCAGGTTGCTGCTGGAAGAGGTGTTAGTGAGGCCAGTAGGGGGTGCTCACCCTGTGGTCTGTGTGGGTCCTAACGCCTCGGTGTAGTGATGGGGACACTATACTGTCAAAGAGCACCGTCCTCGGATGAGACGTTAAACCGAGGTCCTGGCTCTCTGTGGTCCTTAAAAATCCCAGGATGTCCTGGTAAAATAGTAGGGGTGTGACCCCGGCATCCTGGCCAAATTTGCCCCTTAGGCCTCTGTCCATCATGGCCTCCTAATTATCCCTATATAATAATTGGCTTCATCACTCTGTCTCTTCTCCACCAATAAGCTGGTGTGTGGTGGGCGTTCTGGCGCAATATGGCTGCCGTCGCATCATCCAGGTGGATGCTGCTCATTGGTGGTAGGGTTGCCAACCGTTCCGTATAATGCGAAATCGTTCCATATTTGACACATAAAGGTCTTGTTCCGTATTGAACTGATCTGGAACACACTTTGTGCCGTATTTTTGAGAATCAATTCAGTGCAAATCCATGAAAGACACATAGCTTCTGATATATGCCAGACAGACTACGAATGAACGAAGACCTGCTATAATGGAAAATTCGGGGACTTGTTGCCCCCTTGGTGGCCAGAGGCACCGTGGCATTGGATGTGCTGTTACCACAGCCTATGAGCGAGCCAGACGGCATAGATATACAGTATACATGGCTGTGCAGCTGCAAATGCGTTTTGCATATAGGCTTCAGTAAATAGAGGAAAATGAGTTTCCGAAGACATTTGTAGGCTATGATAAGAAAAACTACTAAATTAAAAATATTATTTTTTGCACTAGAAAGAACATTCTAGAAGTCTAATTCTAGAATGCGCACAAGGCTACAGAAAACGTTTTTTCTTCAAATGCGCTTTGAATGTTATACATTTTATTTGTTGAAATTAAAAATGAAACGTATTATAAACTAAACAAATCCATGGTTCATTGTTGGCAAAATGGTCATGATAGCCTTTACATATCTAACCTATGTGGTATTGATTAGATATACTTTGCTATTCTATAAATATAGGCCTACTAAGTTGCATTATAATATGCCCCCCCACCCTAATTGGTTGTGGTTGTTGAGGAAATTTCCCCCTTCCATTTGTGAAACGCTTCGAGGTCCCAGAAAAAGCGCTATGTAACGAATTACTATTACAAACATATTAGTCTTGAGAAGGGGGAAAAAATATATATTTGCATATAGGGATAGGGATATAGTTCACCCAAAAATGAAAATTCTGTTGTCATTTTTTCCCCTTAAAGTTTAAACCTGGTAAAAGTGTAAATGTTTTTTTATTTTGCTGAACACAAAGTAAGATATTTTGGAGAATGTTTGTAACCAAGCAGATCTCGGGCCCCTTTGACTATTTTCCCCCTGGTCAATGGGGCCCGAGGTCTGTTTGGTTACCAACATCCTTTAAAATATATTTATTTGTGTTCAGCAGAAAAAAAAATACATTTAGCCTATCCAGGTTTGGAACAACTTGAGGGGGAGTAAATGATGGCAGAATGTTAATTTTTGAGTGAACTATCCCTTACATATTCAGGATTATGAAGTCTATAGTAAATCAATTTGTAAGCAAGTATTAATTATGTATCATAGAGGGACCAAAATCGTCAACGTAACCTAAGTGTTCATTCAGAACACTAAAAGCATCTTGCACATTTTTCAAAAGCTGTCGAACTCTTGTCATTCAAGTCCTCTGGTTAATGATGAAATGCTGTGAAGCAGTGCCCTCTGCTGGTGTCTCTTTGCAACACAAATAATTCATATAAACAATTTGCTTCGGATAAATGAATTATGCAACGTAAAAAAAAGAATCACAAAAAATCCTTATGAGAAAGAATTGGTTGGCCAATTAAATAAATTTGCAATTTAATAAAGAAATTTAAATTCTGAGTAATGATTAGCTATTTAATTGGCCATGGATTATTGATTCATGGAAATCCTGGCTAAATAAGAATGGGTTACCCAAATATGAAAATAAATAAAAACTACAAAGTAACAAGTTACACTTGGCATTGTCATAGAAGCTTGTTATGTTTTTTTTGTCCATTAGAGGGCCACGAAGAGCCAAATGTTTAAATCAGAGAAAATATTTGCCAACTAATACTAGCTAGCTGTCAATATGATATATTTATTTTAGATTTAAAGACATCAGTCTTTAAATCGTTTTTTTAATGTTTTTTTGTGGATGTGTTTTAGTCTTTGATTAGTGTATTTATTTTTGTGGGTTTTTTTTTTTTTTTACTTTAAGTAGTTTTATTTTGCTATTCTAAAGGCATTGGTCATATCAACATGGTAGGCTATTAGTTTTAATGTTAACTTATGTAATGATAATGTAAATTTAAGGCCAGCCTACAACAGCACAGAAACTCTATCTCCCTCTTTCTATAGTCTTTTGTTGTGTTCAGGAAGTTGTACACACATGGTCTGTCCAATACGTCACAATTCAAACAGCGTCCCAACTGCACACAGCCCATGCTGCACAGCTCACTCACAGACACAAAAGAAAACAAACCTGTTTGTCTGCCTCTTAGCTACCCGGAAACTGATCACAGAGAGAGAGAGAGTGAGAGAGAGAGAGAGAGAGAGAGAGAGAGAGAGAGAGAGAGAGAGAGAGAGAGAGAGAGAGAGAGAAAGAAAGAGAGGTGAATGTATGCAGTTGAGTTCCTGTCCTAAACCAACATGAATGTAAGTACCTCTTCAAAATTTTGGTCATAGAGATACATTCAGACAGAGTGAGATACACCGTATGAATGAGAGAGATAACGACTGGCAGTATGGGAGGAGTGACGGTGCAGGAGGCCGGTATATCTGAGAGCAAAAAAAAATATCTGAAGAATTCATGTTTTCATTTCGTTTAGCTTCTTTGCAACATCTTTGTTACGGAGACCTGACAAAAGGACACATGAACTTTGGAGCATTTTTTTTTTATGGAGCAAAGGCACATTCTTTAAAGATGTATAGGCACCAACCTGTAAACTTTTTGTAAGGTGTTGAAGGTGTGTTGTTTGAATTATTGAGCTCTTCTTGTTGTGCTTGTGAAAAATGTACCTTGTGAAAGGCATCTACCCTCACAGTGGCAATGGTGACAAACATCTCTCATCACTTCTTCGCACTTGACCGGACCTGTGGACCTTGATATGGACAATTCAAGATTTTTAAACTGGATTATTGAACAAAGTTTTGCTGTGATGATAGCTGATTTAGAAATCATAACAATTACAGCCGCTTTTAAACTGCTGTTTCATCATTTTATCATAATCAATGATAACAGGACAAAGAGTTACCAGGGAAGTGGTTTTCAGATAATTCTCTTTACCTAAAAATAGATATCTTTTCTGAGAATAATGGTGTAACCGTTCGATAAGTCATAGCATCAGAGGTTTTCATCTTTTCATGCTAGCTCTGCTAAAAACAATGCTCTCCATAGACTCAACTAATCATCAATTGTTGTATCATGCATACAAAAGGACAACTGAATCAAATACACTTTAATTGTGTGAAGGAAGTGGACTCAACACTATCTCAGACAACTGTTGATTCAGACACATGTCTGAACATTAACAGAGGCTGACTAACACTCCACGTGTGGCTCATTGGATACATCTCATCTATGATGGCAACAGCTAGGCGTTCGGGACCAGCAGGCCGAAGTCAAATTCTTGACGCTCCTCAATCCATGTCTCAGTCCCCCACAAGTGCAGACCGCAAACTTCTTGATAAAGTTTTCAAGAGACTGGAGAAGCTGCATAAACTGAGCACCGACCCCAGGCTGGGTCTAAAAAACAGTCCGCCATTCCTCCCCGAGCTGGTGTCAGAGACCGCCACCCTCCTGACAGAAGTATGGGCTCCTTACAGGGGGTCAATGATGGCCGTGCCACGAGGGGACGAGGGTGAATATCTGAGGATCCATATTCGCCACATGCTGGACAAGACAGACAGAGCTGTACTGCTGTTTAAAGATGGCAAGGAGAAAATGTTTGAAGAAACATCAAGCTACAGGTAAGACAAAGCCAAGCAATGTGGAAGTTTTTAGTCTTTGCTCACTGGTCACAATATGCGTGTTGTTCAGTTGTCCACATTCAAACATCTCAAAGGCCGTAAAAGTCGGCAGAATGATGTTAAAGGGGTCCTTTAATGTTTTTGTACTTTTGTACCAACTTTAGTTAGTCCGCAGATCTTTGGTATGCTCAAACTGCAACATTACAATGTCACAAAGCTCAAAGTCCACTCCAAATGGAGATTCCTTTTTCAAGAACTACAACAAACTAAATTTGGACTACAATGCGATTGTTCTGGGATTCATGAAGTCACAATGTTACTCATTTAAATAACCCCGCCCACAGAATCCACAAAAGGGGACGAGGCCTGGTTGAGTGGCATTAGAGAAGAAGTGTTGTCGCAATGACAAGAGACTGTTTTTTGCACAACATTTCCAAAACTCATTTGTTTGACCTTCCTAAGTCTGTTTAACTTAAGACTTTAATTTTTATTTTAAACACTGTTCCTTAATGTTAAAACACAGACATTTACCTGTGCGCTGCACATTTTACAGAGGTTCTCTCACATTGCGTTAGTTGGAAATATTCGTCTTCTCGAGATCTTTCCCGTAGCGTTAAGCTAAACTTACGAATTACTTGTTCACTCTTGTAAAAGACAACCGAGGTTACGTTAGGTTAGGTAACGTAACCAAGTAGCCTACGTTTTCTGTAGCGTTTGTAAGCTTACATTTTTGACGGTTCGACGGTTTGTAAGACGGTAAGACAGCTCTCCTTAGGAAAATGAACCATGGTTTTGTGATCAATTACTGTTTCTATTACCTTAGTTTTCTGACAAATATAACGATTAAATGGTGGATAACATCGTATCTATAATGTATAAGAAAATTACAAAAAACACACCACTCAGGCAAAGGCTGTAAATGAAATGCGTTCTGGACGATCCTCTTGTTGGTTAACATTTTCAGGGTCTGAATTAGGCATTCACTTAAATTGTTTTGAAGTTGACGACACCATCGTTGATATTTACATTTGAGTAGAGCTCGCCAAAAAAAAAAAAAAAAAAAAAGTAGAGCTCGCCGTTATGAAGGGGCGTGACATTTCCCGAGCATGCGTTACACTGGGCCAGCTACCCAATCACAGCACTTTTCGTTTTTTGAAAAGTATGATAACATTCTACTACCCCAAAAACAAAAACAAAACTTCATAAAAGAGCATAACAGGACCACTTTAAAAGTAATAAAAAAATCTAATAAAAAAAGGAAAGTATAGAAAGCAGACTAGTAGCCTAAAGAAGATTATTCCTGCCTGTTTTTGGTAGTTTTTGTTATAGTTATATATAGTTTGCAATAAACAAATAAAGCATCCAGTTTGGGAAATTCTTCTCTGATTAAACCTCTCAACATCTCATTTCAATAAATACTGTGAAGAAGAGGCAGAAACACAAAAAGTATGTAAAACTCAATTCAATTGAATCAGTGTGCGTGAATGTGAAATGTCAGCATACTACAGAAATAGCCTACAATGCTTGGAAAAAATATCCTCAAAAGAATATAAATATAAATGCGTACATGCCCATACACGTATAAAGAGAGGGTCATGTGCCTCAGTTTTGCGAGGGTTGAAACTAATTTCTTTGCGTACCTTACCAACAACCTGACTGCAACAAAATGGCTAATTTTCAATCTTAAGCAACCAAAGATTGCAGTCCGTATTTAGTCTTGACCAAGTTACTGGTCTGCTGTGACTACTAATGACCAGTGTGTATAGTGCAGCATTATCATGGAAATTGAGGAAACTTCCCTCTAGCAATGGAAGCCAGCAGTTTAATGTTGTTTCAGCAGTGGCCATCTGTTTACCTCCTGACTTTTTTCTTCTTTCTTTTTTTAAGTAATGCATGGCAAAAAGAGAGAGTGAAATATAATCTTCTAATAATATATTGAGTTTAAATAACTAAAATAGGCCCAATAGATATTCAGTCTCTTAATTTATGTTAAAGGAACAGTAACTAAATTACTTGTTTACAAGGTCTGCAAATAATTTTCTTATTACAATACAAGAACAATATAGACTGTCGTACTCATTCAGAAATTGCTATGCTAATGCTGTCATAGCATTGTGTTGCCAATAACCCGATTAGCATTTTCTGAATCAGCTATAGTAAAAGTTTCCATTACTTAAAATATTTAGGTTGAGACAAGATGTTTTAAGTTATGAATTAGCTTACACAAATAATTCAAGTTAATACCAGTTAAAATGTATGAGTCCAAAATAAAAATCTGCCAGTTCTGCTTTGGGCCTTACATTTCTTAACTTAAACATTTTTATGTAACTGCTTACCACAATTGTTTTTGAGTTTTGCCAATTTATTGAGGTTTTCAGTGCAACAGGATACCTCTTGCTTGACCTACAAATTAATACATGTTTCACGCAGCATGTCACAACTAGAAATGTAACATAGAAAAAGACAATCTAAAAGGAAACTGTGCCATGCAGAACCTGATTTCACCTCAACGTTCAACATTCCTTAACCAATCAGAGTTGAACAAGTTTACAGTTTATGTCAAGTTTAGCTTTACAACCAGGGTTAGGCGCTACTTCAGTGTTATTCACCTATCATTTCCCTCTGATTTTCCGGATAACTTATGGTTGGGGTAAGGTTTGGAAATACGTTGAAGCAGGGACGCGTCTAACTCGGCGAAACCACACACACACACACACACACACACACACACATTGATTACGACAGAACTGTTTTACATGTTTCATAAATAGATACAGTAGTTCACAGTTCCTACCCCATTTGGTTTAAATGTTTCAGTCAAGCATGCTAATTCATTTCACTCATTCTATTAAATGGAACAGAATCACCACACAAACCTATTACTGTACATGTGGGTACATAGAGCTAATTTCACCTAGTTTGTGATTGCTTGACAATGCTGAAAACAAGCCAACATGGTTAGTGGACAGGACACTGACAGTTTGTGTGGTGGAACTGGAAACTTTAAAAACATGACTGAAGGAAAGTTCAAGCCTAAGAAGCGGTGCACTGAGTGCTTTGTGACTAAGCTGGAGATAAAAGTAGAAAGTAACCGGTCATATTGTATGAGTGGAAAAATCTGTTCCATACAAGCCGTGGTTGGTCAGTTTAAAACCCAGGCCAGAGCGTTTATCCATATGCATTTCAACACACAAAGCCACATTATCCACAGTCAAACAGAAATAGTCTCAGTGAATGTCAATTACAAGATGATTCTGTCTAATCATTATTATAGTACAATGATAAGTATAAAAACGTAATTACTATAATAAATTAGTCTTATAAACTACAATGGACGTTAGTCAAACATTATACAGCATTTTTAAATGAAGGGTGCCGATCTGTTCTGAGCAGAGGATGCTGACGTTACCATGACAACCTCTTTGATCAATTAGTAATGGAAACTTCTGTCACCACTCACCAGTCTCACCACACACACTCAGGACAGGATGTATCAAAGTACTACTTCCTGTTTATAGTTCTTAGAGTGTGTTGTGCTGATGACAGTTCTTTTTGTTCGTTTTTTGGTGTTTGTGCATGCACAAATATGTTGTGTACAAACTTGTTGACATGATTATATGATATATCAATCAACAATCATCATATCTGCAAAAATTTGTAAATAAGCACCACAGCTCTCCTGTGCAGTATTTATGTCAAAATGTGTTTTACCATGCAACAAAAATGTGTTTTACCATGCAACACACTAAATATTTGAAGAGTTCAGATGGAAAAGCCTCTAAGTGCCATTTGAAATTTTCTTCTAGAATGATCATTTTTATCAAGCTTGTATATTTAAGTTCAGTAATTTCACTTAAATGACAATTAATAGGTAATCTTCATTGCCATTTAAGTGAAATTACTGAACTTAAATATACAAGTTTGATAAAAAAAATCATTCTAGAAGAAAATTTAAAATGGAGAGGCTGAGGCTTTTGCATCTGAACTCTTCATTTGTGTTCATATTTATTTATTGGTAACTCTTTATATTAAGTTTCATTAATAAATCATTAACAAACATAATGTAATGTTTAACAGATCATTAGTTAATACATATTCACACGCGATAACATGCTTGTTAATTTTTAAATAAACGTATTAAAGATTACATGATTAACATATCATTATTAAATGTAAAGAAAATGCTAATCTCATTAAACTTCTATTCATATATTAATGCACATTTTTACATTTACAAATGTTGTGATTTTTTTTAAATTAATAAACAAATTCATTTAATTAGCAATTTTAAGCACTTCATGCACTATTCATGTTAACATAATATTCATTAACTTATAACCCTGTGTGACAATATGACCGCCTATATGGCCAAAATAGGTAAATATGTTCATTTGTTTTTTTTTTTTTTTTTTGCCTTATGTATAATTTATTTGAAAAACAAAACAAAAACATTTTAAAATGAAAATGCAAACAATTTTATGAAAAGTCAGGTACCAGCAGGATTTTATTTATTTATTCAATAAAGTTATTACAGATAAAAAAAAATGCTAAAGACATAACACCACATAATTGTAATTTGGGTGCAAAACGTGTTTTTATTGCCTCAACACTTATTATACATCCTTAAATAGGATATTCCTTGTAACATTCATCAACGGGAGAAAACAAATGTTTTTTCTTTTTTTCAAGAAAATACTTGTTCATTTATCAAAACAATGTAATTGTCATATTGTCAGTTCTGTCGCCTGTGTGTTTCCATGGTTACTGATTTTATTTGAGTTTCAGTTTAGGTGTGTCTCATTAGTTCCTCAGTTTGCTTTCTTGAGCTTCTTTCAGTTTTACGTTGCATTTAGTTGGTTGTTCTGTTCCGGTTTCCGAGATTCTATTCTGTGAAGTTTTGAGTTTGTTCTTGAAAAAAGCTGTTGCATTTATCCAGTTTAATCTATTCTGCAACCACATTGTAACAGTAATATAAATCATGTTCCCTTTTAGTAACACTTTAGTAATGCTGACCCCTTACCAAAGACTTTAACCTACACATACCACCAAACCCGACCATAACCTTATACCATATCCCACCTCAATAACAAAAAGTGTTTTGCACTTTGATCACACAAAGTACATTTTACCTTACAATCCTTTTTTTGACATAAGTACATAGTAGTTAAAGACACCTAATATAAACTGTGACCAGACATTCTTATATTGTTAAACTTATTGTTGAAAATACCAAAAGCCTTTTTGAATTTGTACATTAGTGAATGTGAAAAAAACACATGTGAAGTTTAATGACACTTACAGATTTTCAAGATGTGCATGATCTAATTAATTGAAAGTTTATTGACATTTGTAAGCATTTACATTCAATAATGATCTGTTAATCAATCAACATTTATTAATGAAAGTTATTATAAAGGTTGACCTATTTTATGTTTTAATTTGCTTTATCTTTCAGGAGAAATCTTACTAAATTGTCACTTCTGTTCAGCCACATGTTAAATGAACTACGAAATATGTTTCCTGGAGGACGATTTCAGGGTGATACTTATAGGGTTACAAAAACAGAGGCCAAAGATTTCTGGAAGAAGGCTTTTGGACACAAGTATGACAAAAATAATTGATTGAATGTGTATTAAATACTTTTAAACCATATGCATCCATTTTTGGACAATCATTCCCCCTCTCTCTCTTTCAGATGTATAGTGCAGTGGAACATTTTTAAACAGCAGCTGAGGAGGGTTCACTACTTCGAAGAGGGAATGGAGTCCATGGCTTTGAAGTCCACAGTTGATCTCACTTGTAACGATCACATATCCATCTTTGAGTTTGATATTTTCACCAGGCTTTTTCAGGTATACTGAGCTTGAGACCCTCTAAGGAGATGTTAAAAATAACAGGCACATTCCATGAATAATTTGTTGTGAGACTTATTAGAAATGTTTGATAAACTAAATCATAAAAAAAAAAAAAAATCTGGCATGAAAAGTAGATAATTTTAACCACATCAAATGGTCTGTTTGGCCATTTGGCTGTGATTTTGATCGTCTTGAGTTTATCTAACAATTAAAATGATTCAAAAGTCTTGTCATTTACATAAAATATTATATTGATATTAGTTTTATTATAGTAAAAAATATATATATTAACAAATTTTAATGACCAAAAAAAATATTTATATTTTTGTTAAACAATTAAAATATTTACAAATAATTTATTTTAATATTAAAAAAATAATATTATTTCATTTTAAGGGAGCTCCAATTTGATATTTTTAATTTTGATATATATTTCATGCTTAATCCAAAATGGGAAAACCCCATAGAAACTGAATAGAAAACAAAAGAGTTTATAAAAATATATTTATATATAAAAACGTTTGTCTGTATTTTGGTCCTTTTTATTGCCACTTCAAAACAAAAAGCTATTTAATCTGATATTCTCCCTTTAGCCCTGGTCAACTCTGTTAAGGAACTGGAATCATTTAGCAGTAACTCATCCTGGATACATGGCGTTTCTCACCTACGACCAAGTCAGAATCCGACTGGAGCACTACAGACATCGTCCTGGCAGGTGAGACATGCAGCAGACAATATCAAGGTCAAAAATAATGAAGTATTTACTATAGGATGCTTAAGGTTTAATGTTAGATTTAGCATGGTTTAGATCTAATCTCTCAATGGCTCTCTCTGTGCATCCACAGCTACATCTTTCGTCTCAGTTGCACACAAATGGGTCAGTGGGCGATTGGGCATGTGACCAGTGATGGCACCATTGTGCAAACCATTCCCCAAAATACACCTCTCTACCAAGCACTCATACAAGGTTTCAGGGAGGGCTGGTGTGTATTATTTTAGGAAAAAAAGATACATACTGAAATTAAAGCTGTCACCATAATGTTAATACAACCTTAAATACTTCTGTCTGCAGCTACTTATACCCTGATGGGCGTGACGTGAACCCTGATCTCACCAGCCTGTGCAGTCCGGCTCACAAGGGTCGAGTCAAAGTCACAGAGGTAACTGAGAGTTTCGAATTTATTTCTGATTTGCTCATTTATTTTATCTCTTGAATGCAAGTCCCTTCTCCTTCATTTGTTCACTTTCTCTCTTCAGGAGCAGTATGAATTATACTGTGAGATTGGCAGCACATTTCAGCTCTGCAAAATCTGCACAGAACGAGACAAGGACACTCGCATTCAACCATGCGGGCATCTGCTGTGTCAGCCCTGCTTGACTGGGTGGCAGGTAAACTATATTCCTATTGTGCTGCTCAAACCTTTACATCTCCCATTCACACTTGGATTTACACTCATGAGCATTTATGGTGAGGTGACACCCAAAAACCCACAATTAAAACAGCTATACATGATAACATGGTTGTGGTTTGTCTTGTTGGTGTAAATATATAAACATTAAAAATAGAACTCCTTGGAGTATAATTTTATATAATATCAATAGACCATTAACATGAACTGATAGTTAAATACTAGCAAAAAGTCATTCAGAAAGCGTTACTGCATGAATTATAGTGTTTGCAACAGCGTCATGCAGCATGACCTGACTTTTTGGCTCAAGCTTCCTGCCTGTGCTTGATCAAGCATGTGTGCGTGTTTGACTGTTTTTCCACTTCTCTCGAGTTCAGTCACACATCATTGCATGGTGAGATAACATGTACCTTAGAGAATGAGAGGATGTGATGCATTTCTGCTGCTCTAGAATTAATGTAACACATTCAAAGAGTGGTGCAACTCATTCTCGTAAGATATAAGCTAAATTGTGGTATGATGTTTTTGGGAACTTAGAACTAGAGTCCATTGTTTTGGTGTCTTATGGATTAGATAAGTACGTGAAATTGAGTTTCGAAATTAGTGTCACTCCCTCTAATATGCAGAAATCAGATGGACACACGTGCCCCTACTGCCGCTGTGATATCAGAGGCACGGAGTCCATCCTCATTGAGCCCTACCTGCCAGTGAGAGACAGGAGGCCAGAGGAGAATGAGGAAGACGATGAAGATGAGGAGGAGGATCATGAGGATGTGGAGCTGGTAATGAAAAAACTGGCTTGTATGAAAAAGGTGAGAGTGCTTAATTGTGGCATCAGAAAACTTTTGGTTGCCAATCTAAAACCCACATCCTTCCTGAATAATCTAAAGTTCATTGAATATTTCAACAGATTTGACCCGTTTACTTATGTGTTCTTTAATATTCATTGTGCATTGTTTGTATTATCAACTGCACTCAGAAAAAAGGGTACAAAAGCTGTCACTGGGGCTGTACCTTCTCAAAAGGTACACTTTTGTACCCAAAGGCTGCATATTGGTACCTTAGTGGTACATATTAGCAGCTAAAATATACATATTAGCACCTAAAATGTACATATTAGTACCTAAATGTACATATTAGCACCTAAAATGTACATATTAGTACCTAAATATACATATTATGCAATGAGTTGCTGCCATGTGATTGGCTGATGTACATTACGAACAGCTGAACAGATAATTAAGTGGCCAGTGAGTGTACACATTTCATTTTATTTTAACATTTTATTTTGATTAATTCATTTAGACAAATAATATAGAATGTGCATATCGGGCATTTATTGGTTAGTGGCCATGATACAAAAATATGGACTTATCCCTACTTGCTAGAATTCTACTATTGGCTCTAGTACCTTAGACCCTCTTATCAAGCATTCTCAAGTTTTCTCAGTAATTCCAAAAATGTATTGTATCATTTATGTATCAAATTGCTTTGCTAAGAAAATGCCTGCTTAGACTTAAAATGCAAGGTTTATATACTTTGCTGAGTCTGTGCATTTCTTTAATTTACTTTGACTTTAATGGTTGGTTAATCTCATTCCTCTCTCACTATTACAGATTTCACAGGATGAGTATCAAGTTCCCCGTACCAGTCATTTACCTCCTCCCCTTCCTCCCAAAAGAAATTCCCTTTCCCCGTGTCCCTCTCCCAAACCACCCTCCAGATCCTTTGGCTCAGGCACACGGGTCAGCCATTCTAGTTTGGTGGGTTGTCTGTCTGTCTGTCTGTCAACGTGTTGTTTTTAAACCACTTATTGGTTGGTATCCTTATTACGAAATGAATATGTTACTTTTGTTAAGTGGATGGTCATTGGTGGTTAGTAAGTGAATTAAAACTTACTGTTATCATGAAAATCAGTTATTATATTTTCTCCCCAGAAAGTCAAACACAGTTCCTGGTCAGAAAACATGTTAAGACAAACTTCCCCAGATAGGTAAGAAAATATCTGAATAAGCATTATATCTGAATAATACTGCATATAGATTACATGGGTACATGCCCCCCCCCCTCCCCAAATAAAGTATAAAATAGAATAAAAAAAA